AATTAGGATTTTCCTTTGAAGAAGTGGATATCACCCGTTCGTCAAACCAAAACAAAGCTTTGCAAAATTTGCATACGCAGTTTGAATCACCGAGGTCCCAATAATCTATGATGAAGGGGAGATTAGAAAATAGTATTCAATCACATAAAGACAATTGCAAGAACAATAAAGGTGGGTAAGGAATAGAAATATGCAACACGTACCAACATGCCTGGTGTTTGTAATAGTAGGAAAAGCATCATAATCAACATATTCATCATCTACATCACTATCATCAATTGACGATAAATTCAAATCGTCTGTCGGAGATGAAGGTAGAGGGATGGCATTTGAGGTCTCTCCATCAACTTGGCCATGACATGCTTTTGGAGTGATAAATATAAACATTTAATGGTTCAATAATCACAATATGTCATGTGTACAATTTAAGAACAAATAAGATAGCAAGAATACGTAAAAAGTATCCACTATTGCATAAAAAATTTACCATAACTATTATCCTTGAAACATGTATTTTGATGTTGATCCAATCCTGGGGTGTGATATGTAGTTGCTGGATTGGAATGCCAAAATCCAGCGTGAGTTCTATTTTGAGGGCATGAATCTCTGTCATCTTCGTAAACAACTACAGGCGTTTTTTTAGAAAACACACAAATAATGAGTATAAATAATCAGGAAAAACGCGAATATTATTTTTGGGGAGGTGAAAGAATATTGATTTTTTGAAAAACAACAGGAAATTTTTTCTTGGTTTACTTATTCTGTTAATAACTTATTTGCTTTATTGTATTATTTGTTCACATGAGGCATTACATTTATAAACAAATTCAACTCATTTTATCTCGTACAATAGACACATTTTTTGTGTTGTATTTATAACCGAAGTTTATATTCATATGGTGCAATAAAATGCATAAGGGATGGTGAAGATTTAAATTTATAAAGAATAAAGTAACCCAATTTTCTACCGACCCAGAACTATTAATAGTGTCCCACCTGCACACACATAGAGCACATACGCAACGCTTACTGCTTTTTATTCAAATCATAACCCAACTGCCATTTTCCCAACTGTCCTTTAAATTTGTACATTACAGCACACACATGGTGCACTGATGGATGTTTAAAAATATTAATCCATCTGTTAGCAACAGTAGCTCAATTCTTTCTGGAGTACAACTTTGGAGACTAAATTAACCTAAGACTTAATAAATACTGCCCAACAACCCTCCCTTTGATATGAGTGGGTGTTTGACAGAAGGAAGACATGAACAGGTTACAAAATGTATTTTTAATTTACATTGAATTACACATATTTTTTATATGGGATGATTAAAAGACATGCTCACTCAGTGAATCAGTTTATTGCTGATACGGCCCCAAGTTTAATTTCATTTTTTATAAACCACTTCGGCTCAATTGGATGTTTTGTAGCAGGCACGGTGTATGAAGGGGGTTAATATTTTTTTTGTAAAAAATTTGGCAAAACATAATCAAATAAAACATATTATGGAACACAAAACACAATTTTGCAATCGGTCAATTTAATTTTGCACTAAGTGCAGTGAAGTTAGCATTGTGTGATTCAGACAGTAATTAAGAAACATTGATTGTGCACAGACAACGTTTACCTGAATTTGGTCTCTTGGATCCTATTATGCATGATTTAGTTAGCTTAACCATGATCAGGCCCACTCACAGCTTCACTGACCTAAAATTAGTCATCACATAAAGTCTTATAAAGGACATAACAGGAATAGCATTTAATATTATACAACCATAAATAACCACGATCACATTTGTTAGGTATCCTCAAGATCATACACATATTATGAACACAATACTTTGTGTTCATTTTCTTTACATATCAAAAAAGCTACCCAGACAATTCTCCCGAGGGATCTGTAAACGCAAGAACTCAAAATATAAGCACCCGATACTCCAAATGCATGTTTCAGTTAGGAAGGCCAGTGAGCCAGCCAAAACTTATCTCAACAACAAATTCACTTTTAAAATATTTTCTATTCAACTTTTTAATGCGTGAGGAGCGACGCAACACAACATCCGAGTGAGAAATTGTGTCCTGGGCTTCGTCACCATGATGGTCCACTGAATGAACGCTCGTACGGGGTGAAAAAATCGAATCCAGAGATGGTGTGGGGTAAAGAAAATGAAGATTAAGTTTGTCCAGACAATGCTCACACTTCCAATCTGTGAGCGTTTCATGGATTGGAGCAAAAGTGCAGAACATATGCACCCTTTTCCCACAAAACAAACATTGCAGCACAATAGTCCCTAAACCCTCACCTCCACACACATGACACACTAAAGGAGCCATTTGAAAGTCCACCTTGGCTGCAGCGGAACGTAATACATTTTTCAAAGACATCTCAAATAAGGATGAGATAATGGTATACAGACACTAATAAGTAATATATACATTGAATAAAAAGGGGCAGTGCCTTCGTGATTCGAAAAAGAAAATGCAACATATTAAAACTGGAAGAGGAAATGACAAACATTTAATACTTGGTTATTTTAAGGTTTTTTGTATTATCTTTTATGAACAATACGTAGTAAGAATGAGTACGTGATTAAAAGATAAGTGGTATTACCTTGCAGGAAAAGGAAGAGATGACGGCCTACAAACCGCGAAGAAGAAATTGTACGCCGTTGTGAGAGAGGGGAAAAGGTACGGCATAGAGGTATTGTATGTGCAGCGCCGTTGTTTACAGTAATAAAACGGGGTTAGTTTACCTATATACAGACAGCCCAAGTTAAGTAGATAATGGTCATGTAAGCCGCCTTTGGAAAAGACTCGTTCGTTTTACATGAAATAATACGACATACAACATCAAATAATAATGACATTTTTTTCCCACATACAGAGAATTTTCAGAGCAGCCCAACTTTAATCTGACTATTATCTATTCCCATATTAGATAATCCTCTGACGTCGCACAGTCCACCACTAACCCCATCCGTAAAATGACTCCCATACCTAAATTTTACATTTCAATGTAGCGCACAGAGCAAAGCGTAGATGAAGCTATCATTGTGCTGGCCATACGGGCCAGATGATAAGCTAATAAATAAAACTCCAAATACGGAGCATTATTTACTGTCCTAGAATGCCCAATTGATCCGAAAATAATTTTATTTTGGTCAAAAGATACATTTCATTTGCTTAATCAGGAATTGATTTTTACGGTTTATTAATTTCTATATGAATAATGTGGCTACAGAATATGTAATTTAATTTACTATAAATATAATTAATCATTTAATCAGGGATATCAAGGATTGGCTTCTATTGGCAGTAGTTCAAAAAATGATGACTTTCCCAAAGTTCCGATTCATAAGAACCACATTTAAATTTTTAACTCGAACTTAAAATGACAATCACCTTTGGTCGTTCTATACATGGCACACAAATAAAATCATATACATTCTGAAATATATACCCGATTGAAATATATACTTAAAATGACAATCACCTTTTAGTGGTCTTCTTTCAATAATCCCACCTTTTGATTATTCATGAATAATCCAACATTTGCACCTCATCATCAATAGTAGGTCATTGGTCCCTGGTCGGTTAATGACCTACTATTCCAAGTTATTTTCTCATCTTTGCAAAATATTATCTTTGTGAAAGATGAAATTTATGGTATAATGATTTGCAAAGATAAGAAAATAGCTTGGAATAGTAGGTCATCAACCGGTCAGGGACCATTGAATGAAGATGAGGTGCAAAGGTTGGATTATTCATGAATAACCAAAAGGTTGGGTTATTGTAAGAAGACCGCTAAAAGGTTGGATTATTAGTTTCCATTTTCCCTTAAGAATTTAAATTCAATGGATTAATGCATTTTTAGATTGTGCACGATACACTAAAGTGAATCAATTTTATGATTAATAAATATAAATCTATTTCAAACTCTTTGAAAAACACTAACACACACATATTAGAAATTACACTTACAATGTGTGAAATAAGTTGATAATTGTATATATCAAAGTCAGACGATTCTAATTTTATTCTGCGAATCGAATACATAATTATTTGTATTGTATTTGAAAGACATATGAACCAAAAAACCATTTTGTATTCGTATTTATACTCTGATAATTATTAATATTATCACTATTATTAATCGAATATATTTGATTAATATTTGAATCGAATACATTGATATTCTTATTTGTATTTGATAACAAATCGAATCAAATTTAATATTCATATTTGTATCTGTATTTGAATTTTCCGAAGGCGCTTTGAGACGAAGGCGTTATATGGCTGGCTTGCCAAACTTGCTAACCAAATAATTTTTAAAAATGCAGGTTCTTAAATGTATTTCATATCTCATACGCAATCTCGGTGGGCATCATCATTTTTTGTTGTAATGTGTGTAGTACTCAGTTGGCAGTTGGTTATGTAATAATTTAGTAATTAGGTTGTACATTAGGGAAAACACAGGTCCCCCGCCGAAGCTGATATGGCAGGCATGTTTTCTGACCTGACTATTTTTCCCACATTACAACGATTATTTTTCTGTCTCTAAGCGAGCCATTCGGATGCAGATATAAACACAAAGTCTGTGTCTAACTAAAAAGTACTTATTGGGGATCTATCATACACAATAAGGTGTAGGGAGTATTATACCTTACACAAATTCCTAAGATAAGTTTTGATGTTGTTTTGGATAACCGCTAACACAGTAGACGGCAAATGTAATACGCCAGGGTCAATTGTGGTAGTTAATAAGAACTACTCTGTATCAGGAAAAACTGTGTTTTTGGAGATAATAACCGCCTTCCAAGATCAAGTTACAGTGCAATCCCTATATAATTTCATCAACCATGCTGACCTCATTGCTAGGAATGTAGCATACTGTAATCACCACAAAGTTTAATAGCCATCGTTTTAGTGACCCAGTTAGTACCCAAACATAATGCTAGACCTTGACACTTTACTGTGATGTAGAAGACGTAATACCATTGCAAACAAACTGTTCATCGTTTTATTGTAATATACATTTCCTGTCCTAGGTTACATAGAGAGGACACTTTAGGTTCAAGTGTGCCAGAACCAATAACAAAATTCAAAAAGCAAAATATGCAGAATACACCAACTCCAAGCATTAATATAAAGAGCTAGCCCAGCCTTCTACGTAAAAGCCACCCATGGAACCCATAAAACATAGGTAGGTAGTCTACATAATTCTAAAGAACGAACAAAAGCCTAAGAATATCATGGTTTTGGCTCCTCAATTTTGATACCCTTATTCTTCTTGAGTGGCATTGTGGCAGAAAATTCTCCAAATAGATCCCTTTTCACTTTCTCCCCGTTCACTTCTAAGGCTATTCCTTTATCTTTGCTCAACATAGGACTGCTTGAAATAACTGCTTCTGAGGAGCCAACCTGTAGAATCCAAAGAGGGGGCGAATACAAAAACATCAAATCTGAACTGGAAACCTGAAAACACAATACCGAAATGCCTGCACCTGCTCGCTGCTACAAAACTCTCTCTTGAGCAGATCAAACTCATCTTCCTCCTATATCGTACAATATTAAACGTCAAACATGACATTTTAAAGCCTGTCAAAACACAACCTTTGCAACCCAATATAACTGACCTCAATGTTGCATTCAGAAACGTAGAGCGACAGCACCCTGGGGTCTGTGTTCATCCTCAAGACACTAAAGTTTTGATTTCCCCGGTAGTTGCTACCCTCCTTTTTGAACTGGACCCGAAATAGCGCTTTAATGTCCATGAGGGCATTAATTTCAGCAGGGAAGTAGTGGGGACCAAAGTTCCTCTACATAAACAATCTGCCAGTTGATTTTGGAGCAGATAATAATACAATTATACGATTTCATAAACAACCCAAAAATGGATGTTACCTTTGCGACTTGCTCTTTCAAGGATGTAGCTGACCTCCCGATCAAACACGAAACCTCCCTATCCCATAGTAAGAAGGATGCATGGGAGGTTCCGTCCACCACTCTGATGCTAACTCTGTATCTATAAAAAAATTGAGAGGCAAGGGAAGTTAGTTCATCACCAACGTGTAGAAATCTGGTTGAATAATGTGCAGGAATTCTCAAACCTTAAAACAGCATCCGATGAGTTGCAGGACAAACACACAAAACTGTCACCGTTCGGAGTGACTTTTCGATTGCAACTTATGCAGGAGACGTAAGACCACTCTTTATGGCTATCAATCCCTGCTATCTCACCGTACACCCAATGTCTTCCTTCCTGGAAAACAGTAAAGCAAACGAAAATTCATATACCCACACATAAAAAAAAAACCGAAGCAGCAGTTCTGGTGACGAACCTCCTCCAACTTATTCAGCTGGTCAATGGTGAGCAACTGTGTTTGACCGCTACTGATATCACAGTCATTGGATGTGTCTGACGAAATGGTGAAACTCAGACCTTCCCCACACCTATTAGCCATTCTGGGGAAAAGTGACACTGAGATGCTAAGTATAAGGTGTAGTTGGGGTTGTCCAGATTATACACATAGTACTGGAAATACATACCTAGTTTTGAATTCGGTGAACACTTTTTCGGGTCCGTTTAGAATTACCTTTGTTGTGTTGAACATATTTGACACAGTAACTTGACCTAGAACAATTAAGCAAGTCAGCAGGAAAGAATAAAACCATAAACAGGATTAAAAAAAATTCACCTGCACCTTGATATTTTCTAGCTCTACAACATTGCAGCAGCATGACAATTGGTTCAGCTGTTGTTAACTTGTACGCCAACAACATTTCAACCATCGGACCCCAGAGCGTGCACCCGATGACGTTCCCCCTAAGAAAAACGAAATATGGCATCAAAAGTATATACAAAGAAGTTAGGGATCAAAACAATATGAAAGTATTCACTAACTCAGTATCTCCCAAGATCAGCTCCACCAACTTTCTAGGGCGGTCATTTTTTAAAATGGTTTTAGGGTCCTTCTCGTGGACGACTTGGCCAATGATATCTTCAGTTTAAATTATGTTAGCAAAAAAATCGATTAGTTTTTTGAGTAGACAGATTAAGTTGGGGACTACCAATGGCAGTTTTTTCGTCAACAACTTCCTGTGCCTGCATTGTTGCGAAGCTGATCAAAGTAAAAGTCCGTAAGGGAAAAGGAATTTCCAACTCAAACGCTGCCGTCTTCTTAAAGAAACGTAGCCTGTACGCACTGGTAGTTGTTTTGAAATACATGCGATTTTCCTCAACCATAAAATTCTTTACGGCAAATATTCGACCTTCCCTAAAGATGTTAAAGAACTTGCCAACGAACTGATCAGGGATGTGCGCATGCATTTTTGCACCCTGCTGATTTAAAAAAGAGGGAGTTAAATATGATCAAATAAAATTGGAAGACAACGGAAAGAATACGAAACAGAGCTCACAACCTCCTCATCGTGAAATACAACCTCCATTGATGGTGGGAAGCCGTCATGGGCAGGCTCACGGTAAACGCGAGTTGCTCTGGCCTTTATGGCCCAGGTCGTCTTGCCCTGATCTATTTCTTTAAACAAAGACCACATGCCAACCATGGTCAGTGGTGTTTTTATTGCTACTGGGTATGAGATTGGAACTGTTGAAGGATGCAAAAAAAATGCAATCCGGAGTGCTGCTTTTATAGCGTAAGATGTAGGAATGCTTTGAAAGAAAACCACCTGCTCCCTGCCTCGTCATGTTTGGCCGCCCCCTTCCACCAATACATAGGGAGCCATCAAAGGGGGGTCACCTATCTGATGTGCAGGAGCTACCGAATTATTAACCAATAGCAACCGCAAAGAATTTTGGTACTGTGCCCACCTAAAGGCTTGGCCAATAGGATTGGTGTGCTTAGTTAAATCCAATTTTTATCCGACATTCCAACCCCATACCTTGCATTCTACTTCCCGGATTTATCCATTCCCTTAAAGAAATAAACAACGAATACATGAGATTGACAGTTCCGCGCGGGAAGAACTTCACGGTAAATCTTTTCCTTTTATATAAGAATAGATACGGAGTACTATTTAGTATTTATATTCATTTACACATTAACTAATACAGAGTACTTTTTTCAAATCCATTTTATATGAGTATTGCTTGAATATGTCCCGTGCATCGCACTTGAAAATCTAGTTAGTTCCAAACACTCATGGGGATGTTTTCTTTTGGATTTTTTTCGGTCCCATACCAGATCAGATCAAATCATACCAGACCAGATCAGACTTGAATTCCGTAATTATAAAATACACCGAGACCAAATGTTTACGAGACCAATTCAGATTAGAGCAGAAAACATCCTGAGTCTGCCAAGAAACCCCACTTCCCTTCCTCTTTGCTCTTGAAGAGTTGAAGTCTCATTCTGAGCAAGCACGGAGATATAGTCTTGTACAAATAAGTCTCACTCTGTGAAAAAAAGCTGGGCGCGCCTAGTAAGGTTTGTGGAGCGAATAACTTTTGAGTTTTTCACTTCTTTGAGACTTGAGAGCTATGAATATAATTCAGAAACCGCTACACGGCCGCCATTTTTTGTCTCGCCTGACAACCTCATGGGTTGCGAGCAAACACATTTCTTGCTCCTCTGATTCATCTTCAGACACCAGTGATCTGTGCTCCCAGACATTGGATTCCCAGTTGAGATCACATCTATGCGCAAAGCATTGCCCTAGTTCATCCGCTTTAGTTGAGGCTGTGCGCCTCTTTGAGCATGCAGTTTTTGATTTGAGACAATGTCCCCATGCGTCTACATGCAATTTTCTTGTTGAAACTCTGGTAAAGAACAAGGCATACGGACTTGCATTTGATACGTATGGCAAAATTACCCACACCCTTGGTTCTGCTCATTTTAAGCATAGTTTTTTAACTCTAGCCGCCTTGGTTGAGATTTTCGTGCACACTCACATGCCTGATTTGGCCTTTTCTGTGTTTGGGTTGATTTTTAAGCGAGGTTTTGTTATCAATGTGTACCTCTTCAATATGTTGTTGAAAGGCTTCTGTGAAAATGGGATGGTTCACAAGGGGGTGGAACTTTTCTGTGGGAAAATGGTATCCCCTGACACAGTTAGCTATAACACCCTCATTAAAGGGCTTTGCAAGGCGAACAAATTGCAGGAGGCTTTGAACTTGAGGGTTGGTATGGAAAATGCAAACCTTACTCCCAATGTGCTCACATATACTATATTGATGGATGGGCTTTTCAGGGAAGACAGGGAGGTGGATGAAGCAATGGGATTGCTGGATGAGATGAAGATCAAGGGTTTGGAACCTGATGTGTTTACCTTTACCATACTTATAAATGGGCTTTGCAGTAAAGGTAATGTGAACAAAGGCAAGGAGGTGTTTAATGAAATGCTAGTGCATGGGGTATCTCCGAATGTAGTAACATATACGTCTTTGATAAATGGCTTTTGTAAGAAGGGCCAGCTGAAAGAAACCATGATGATGTTCAATTCTATGTTGGAGCGTGGAATCAAGCCTGATATTGTCACATTCACCAGCATAATAAATGGGCTTTGCACAGGCGGAAGGGCAGACAAAGCATTGAAGGTGTTTAAATCGATGCTTGCAAAGGGTGTAGTGCCTGGGAGTATAACTTACAATGTTCTGCTTCGTGGACTTTTTGATAAGGGATTATTAACCGATGCTTATAATATCTTACAACTAATGATAGAGAAGGGTGAGAAACCAGACGTGGTGACCTACAATACCATCGTGCAGGGGTTTTGTTACAATGGGAAGGTAGATCATGCCATGGCACTGTTTAACTCAATGTTGACAGACAAGAAGATTTATACTGAACCAGATGTTAGAACAGTGACTGTTTTGGTTCAAGCACTGTGTCAAGAAAAACGCATTGATGAGGCTACAAAGGTTCATAGTAAGATGGCGGCTGATAACAAAAAACTTGTTGATGTGCGAACTTTCACTGTGCTCATTGGAGCTTATCTAAAGGAGGAACATAGTGTTGAGCAAGCTCTGTGTAAATGGAAGCAGATGACTGAACTTGGTTTTATTCCAGACTCACTTTCCTTCAGTTCCTTAATTGATGGATTTTGTAAGTTAAAAATGCTAAACATTGCAAAGGGGATTTTTCTAACCCTGAAGAACCGCACAGTGTTTGATTATAACTCAGTCATGGCAGCTTTGTGCAAGGAAAGCAGCTTTGAACAAGCAAGGAGGTTGATTCAGGAGATGATAAGTGATGGGAAGTGTAAACCTGATTCTGTCTCGTACAATATCATAATTGATGCGGCTTTGGAATCAGGAAATTTGCAGCTTGCTGAAGAACTACTAACCCAAATGCTTCAAAGGGGTTTGAACCCCGATGCTTTCACCTTTTCTATACTAATAAGTAGGTTTTCAAACCTAGGACAGATTGAGGTGGCTAAGAAATTGTTTGACAAAATGGTTGCATCTGGCCTCACACCCGGCATCCATGTATATGATTCTTTACTCAAGGGATTTAGTCTTAAAGGCGAACCAGATGAAATTATTCATATGCTTCACCAAATGGCTGCTAAAGGAATTGTTTTAGACTCTAAAATCACTTCAACTATTTTAAGATGTATTTGTGACACGTCTGAAGATCTCAATTTGGTAGAGCTTCTTCCAAAGTTTGCTGAGCAACAATCAAAAGAAATATGTGTTCCATGTGATGCATTACTGATAAAGATCCAAAAGAGTCTTCACAAGTGTCAGACATGTTCAGCTTGATTCTTAGACTTCAGTCACTTGTTCACCATTTTCCATCATTTGCAATGGAGCCAAAGATTCATCCTATACCTAAAAGCACTACACTAGAGAGAGAAAATTCTCCCGCCCAAGAGCATGGCCTAAAATGTAATTTCGCAGCTCAGCAATTCTATGCTCACCATTTCTCGCCCACCTCCTCGTCTTTGCCTTATCCTCTCTTTCCTTCACCGGATTTTTCTTCACCGATTTCCGTGGATCGCTTCACCCTTACCCATACTATATCTAAACCCTCACCACCTTCTCTTCGACGTTTTAAGCATTTGAAGAGCTCCAGGAGATCCTCTGATTCTCCGAGCCGCACTGGAAGATGAATTCTCTCACTCCATCGCTTGAATTCATCGAGGTATGCTCTTCAAGTAGCTATTTTTGTATGATTCTATTGACTTACGAAGCCTTTGATTGCATCCTGATTTGTTTATTCTTGAGCTTTCCTGATTTGAACTCCCTAGCACTCAATCGTTTCTCGATATACAGTGTGATGTTGCATCCTGACAAGTTAGGGCATCCAAATTGGCTGATATGAACAAATCACAACGATTCACTTTGCCCCCAAACCCTATTCCATTGGTAATGTTTCTGAACTCAAAATCACCAAATGAATTCCATGTTCTATTTTCATACAGTACTCTTCAACGTGTTCTTCTGAAAATGGGCTATATTTTAACTCTGACCAGATTTTGGTAAGGAATAACCAAGCCAAACAAATTCTCTCATTCCTTTAAGTTCAGTCTTGACTGTTAGTATCGTTTACTAACATTTTCTAATCCTTTAAATTCAAGAACTATTCTAGGAATGAGACAGTTTTCACCAAATCGATACCAAGGGTCACTCTAAGCAGCCTGCAAGTGAACTAAAAAGGAATAACCAAAAGAATATAATAATATCAAAGAAAATTCAGATTCTATATGGTCATCTATTTTAAATAGCAACCCTTCAAAAATGGCATACCAAAGGTAATTCGATTCCTGTTAGACATCTTTATTTCCCATGCTTAAAAAATGGCATACCAAAGGTAATTCGATTTCTGTCGGACTCGGGTTTTTGTTAGGTTTTTAAAATTACTTTGTTAGTTTGTTATTTTTCTTGGCTTATGTTATCTGAAATACTTTAGTCTTTATAGTTTTTTAACATAACAAGTAGCACACATTGCAATTAATATGAATTGCAGGATTTAGACACTTCATTGATTTGGTATATGTGTCATCTCTCTTTCACATCCGACTATTCAAAGACTACTCACTGTTGATGGAGGTAATCTATGACCGTGTGTTTGGAATGAGGGGGCCCGGGGAGGAATGTTAATAAACTATAAAGTAAAGGCATCATAAAGGAGGGGAGGGATGATCATGATCCACATAGACGGTACACATTTGCTTCTTCTCTGCTGGAGAAGAAGCAAATACTCGCAGTAAACAATCCAAGCAAACCCGCAAACAAGTTGCACCTTCTGCAATGTTTTCTTCCAAATGCTATACCAAAGGTGAATTTATGATTTGCTTAGTCTTACACTCTCACTTAATAAGATGACTTTTATTTCTTTATTAGTTTTTTAGTCACTCTTTGTGTAATTTCCATGTGAACCATTGTTGACACCTATATGCATATGTCAATGGCTTTTTGTTTGTAACTTTGTTTCAAAGCTTGAAATCTGATTATCATTCAGTTTAAACCACAATCTTGCATTACAAATTCTATTTGCACTGAATTACTCATATTAGGTTGTTCCACTTTCCTAATTTGGTTTCAGTTTTTCTATCTTCTACTGTGATTCTGTGAATAGAGATGAATATGTCTAAATTGTATTTGGATCAATCAAGTACATCTACTTAATTTAGTTGATAAATTGTTCTCTAATTTGATCTTCTTATATTTTCCTAATGAAGAAGGCAGGGTAGAGCATTTTTGTATGGTAAACTACTAAGCTCTCCAATTCTGATCTAAATTATTAATGTTAGTCTTAATTTTATTAAATCTCCAACTCTAAATAAACCAGTGGTGTTAGTTTTTTATCTATCAGTCTTTAATAAATTCCCAGTAAAAATTGTGAGCACAAATTCCCAGTAAATAACATACATTAGTTCGGTTGCTTAGTTCGCTTACTTTTTCAATCCAATGTCGTACATATACATGAGCAATCAAAGTGTCCGTTAGGCTCAGACCGCTCAGTAAAGTTGTTACTTTTGTTTTGGATTTATTTGGTTTACTTGGTTAGTTATTGTATACAGAGCTTATCTCCATTTTCACTCTATTTTGCATTTTACTTTTTTATTCATATATACTTGTGTATCTATTGGACCCCTTTGTTGTCATTTTACTCATACTCATTATGATTGTAGGTGCTTCTTTATGATATTTCTGGTTAGAGGAGACCTATAATATGAATTGATTTTCAGCACAAACATCCACAAAAACTGTAGCTAAGACCTAGATGGGTGCAAAGTATAAGCAAGCAAATGATCTCAATTGATAAGTGCAAAGGTGTGTTTTTGGACTGTACTTGTTAAATTCTGATGTTTTACTACCTTTTAAGAACAGGTTTGATAATACCCTTATCTGGTATTAAAAAATCAGGTACTAAGAGCCCTCATTTGGTAACTCAAAAATCGGCTGATTTTGTTGAAATTTATGAAGCTTTGGTTGAAGTGGCTGATTTTGCTGATTCAAGAAAAAAAATTAAAACATACTCCCTCCATCCCGTTGGGATGTTCCCGGTTTGACCTACACACATATTAAGGAAATAAACTTACCAGGGGGTAAATTTTACTGTTTTGACACTGTTTCGACACTGTTTGACACTATTTGGCACTCTTTTGATGTAGGATAACTTTCCATTTAGGGAAATGAGAACTTCTTTTTGAGACATCTAAAAAAGGAAAACGGGAACATCCCAACGGGACGGAGGGAGTATTTTATTAATAAAATAAAAAAACTTTATGTAGAAAATGAAATAGCTAAAATGATCATCTACAGTAACTTTAGCCAATAAAGCCAGAAAAGTAACTTCAACTTTATTTTTTCTTATTATTTCACAATTCAGCGCGCGAAAATAAAAATCACGTGTTTGGTGAAAAAGTTGGCTGATAAGCCTGATAAGCCGAAGACCAGTGTTACCAAACGGCCTCTAAATGTAATACACAACAAGTTCCATGCAATCTTTTTATGTTAATTCAAGTATGATTGCATATTTTTTTTTCTTTTTCAAATCATTTCGGTTCTTTGAACTGATCTATCTTTGAATTGCTTTTAGGTTGTATGCAATTTGCAAATGCTGGTTCACATTAGCACTATCAGAGAGAATGCTTTACTTATTTTGTTTTTCTTAATATTTACTCTTTCTTTTTTCCTTAAGTTTGATGCATTTGCACACTTTGCATATTTTAGTGCTGGAAAAAACAGCAGGGAAGGGAGAGGAGTTGTTCTCAGCAAGTTATGGTCAGTGGCTCAATATATTAGGGATAATGTTGTGACTATTGCGATTCTTGAATAAGGAGCTTTTTTAAGTGACTAGTATTTCACCCGTGCGTTGCACGGGATAACAAATTACCAAATTACTCATGAAGATCTTCAGTTTCCCCAATCAACTCTATTAATCTGAAGTTGATATTCTTGACTCCGTGTAAGTATGAAACGCACTACCAACTATTTTATGAATTGTATTTAAGCGTGTATTTAAGATAGTAAGCCAAAAATATCAATGAATATGTATAAATAGTGAGCTAACAATTAGAGTTCTGGTGATCCATCTCCACGAATCTGAGCACTTGTTTATTTAAGCTTTTCGAATATGAAGGTGTCAGAAAAGAATCTAATTAAAATGTGAATTCTAAAACAACAAAAGAAATTATAGGAATGTATTATTTAATAAATTTGATATCCACCATAAATATATTTGATGAAGATGAAATTGAAAAAATTCCTCCAAAAATCATGGTTTTACCCCAAATGAATGACTCTATTCATACTAAATGCACTGGTCTCCATTTGAGTATAGTGGTGCTGATTTTACAAAAGTCTTACAATTTTCTTAAAGTTTTACAAATGGATGACCTACAATAAGTTAATTACCCAAAAATATACTTCTATTTTATTGTGTATAATCACACCAATATCAACTCACACGGTCACTCCTAAGGTTGAGCGAGAAAGACACTTAGTTCACTTAATTATAATCACATAAAACATTGCAATTGCGAGTCTGCAATAGTGTTAGTTTAAACTTTAGAGTAATATAAAAATAAATTATATATATACCAGATTCGTTTATGTTCAACTTGTGATTCACCATTTGTTCTCGTGAGAAAATGGTTCAACTCATTACATCATTATTTTATGTGACACCTCATGGAAAATACTGGGTGGTGGCTTCCAACCTTGTATCTATGAGAAAGAAAAGAAATCAAAGAAACAGTTTTTTATTTTCACATTTATAGTAAATACATAAGCATTTTCAATTGTTACTTAACATTGTGAAATTACTTGCACACTTCAGTGCATGAATGGTTTCCGCGGTCTTCTCTCTATTTTGGCATTTACATTGTGTCCTCCTGACTATCGATAGAGTTGCTGCCTTTTCCATTGCTCTCAGTATCTCGGGCCTCTATTGTTTTTCCTATCATTTGTGTCTTTATCTGGACCTAAAGGAGGAGAAATGCTATTTTCATTTCTCACTATTTCCATGCTTTCAGATACACTCCTTACACAAACAACATTTTCACTTTTCTTCACCATATCATCCTTAATACTCTTCTCGAGTCATATCCTTAACAGAACTTTTTTGTCCTTCCATAACAGAATTTCTGCACATATCTCGAGATTCTTCTACATCAGACCACTCACCTTCTTCTTTCTCAACCACTCATGTACCTACAAAGCACAAATTTGGAGGGAGCACAGCCTTCATATCTTAACTATAAGTGCTACTTATCATTGACGGATGTACGTTTCCCCAGATACATTATGTTGTTCCTTGCCATTACTTATCATTGACGGACCTACATTGATGTTGTATCTCTACTATTCTTTTGTTTGCTAAAAGTTTTTGTTCCCTCCAGTTTTTTAGACGTACAAAAGGTTGAAACCCAGATAATGAAGATACATGTGAAAATGCACAGTTGTTAATTATCCCTTGAGTACCAGGAGATGCTCTAAAAAAGTCAGAATTATGATTACTTGATGAATAAACAGTTTTCTGTGGCTGGGAGCTAGGGACACCACCATTTTCCCGGTCATCCTCAGTAGCAGGTTCATTTAGATCAAATAAAAGCCTCCCTTTAAATGCCATTTCAAATAAAAGAACACATATACTACCTAGAGTTTCTGTAAGTGCCCATTTCTTTCTCAATTATCTATACCTGAAATGCACCAAGCATACAAAATATCAGAGACAGTAGGTCAAAGAACACATATACTACCTAGAGTTTCTGTAAGTGCCCATTTCTTGAATAAGGAGCTTTTTTAAGTGATGTTTGACTAGGTTGTGGCATTTGTTATGTTGAAAATTAGGATTGTCTTTTACTTGGGTGGTTCAGTGGTTGCAACTGATATATTTGGAATATTCAACTGGGAGCATTTGTTAGAAAAAGTCCATGGTCTGTTGAACATCATACGATTTCAGAGCAGGTTTTTATGTAGATTTTGGGCTGATTTCATGTTGAGTTTGGGCTGATTTCCTGCAGTTGGGTTGTCTAACGTTTAGGTGGTTGTCGATTTATTGTAGGGGTGGGCGCGGTCCGGTCCGGTCTAATATTTGGCCGAACCCGTACCCGTACCGTTACTATTCAAACGGTTCGGTTCGGTCTTAGACCTAAACCCGTTCGGTACGGTTTCATTTTGAAACGGGACGGTACCATGCATACCAATACCAAACAATGCCACTTTTTTCAAGTGCTTAAGAGGAAATTAAAGTTTATTTATCCTCCAAAAATTGACACAATTTATCAATTTCATACTCATTAAAGTCATTTTATTGCAAATTGACATGCAAAGTCAATAATTTTTTTGTCAACCATGTTAAAGTTAAATTCTCTTTATTGATAATTGATTTATTTTTTAATAATTAAAATAAACATATTCAGAAACTACAATGAAATCTCTTCAAGGTTGCAAGCTCCAAATTAAATATAATTAAAAAGTGACATTCTAGTTAAGTGAATAAAATGAAAATGTTTGACCAAGAAAAGTTAATTTTGCAAATCAATTTGGGATGAATGTAGTATTTTACATAATTAATAAATTTCAGATAAATTATAATAGTACAAATATAAATAATTAAACCATACATCGGTCCGATTCCAGGCTTCCTATGAATTAGCAAAGACGGTGAAAGTGTGAAGACAGTAGTCAAAGTAAGGGTATAAATGTAAATTTAAATCATTGAATCATACTTCGGTCCGGTTCGGTCCGGTACCGGTTCTCATTTTATGAGAACCGGTCATGGCATTGTTTAGAATCGGTACGGTTCGGTTCGGGACAAAAAAATTGAGATCCGTTTCAAACCCCATTTTTCGGTCCGGTACCATATCAGTTCGGTTCAGTACCATGCCGGTTCGGTATTTTTGCCCGCCCCTAATTTATTGCATTTTCATGCTGCAACTCAACTTGAGAGCATGTTTTTTGGGAAGATTTGATGGCGCTACTGGACTCATTAAGATCAATTTATGTCGATTGGAGATGATTACTGGAGCATGTTTGTGAATACAAAATTGTTTTTCTCTGTTTTTTAGCATCACTTAATCAAGAAGAAATAAAATCATGCCACTCACAATGTTCCTCTCGACTTCAGAACTCAGAGAGTAACCCAATTATGTATTTCTATACCAAGGCTATTTTTGCCCTGATCAATAGATGCTTTTTTTTTGCTGAACCGTACATAAAGTTTATTGTCCATTGCTACATGTTCTTACACATACATTTAGAGTTAAAAGACTACCGTACATAAAGTTTATTGACCATTGAACAATCTAGATGAAGTATTTATATTCCTTGTAAGCATCACAAACACCTTCACTTTTAGGTTTAGCTCATGACTTGACAAAATGACAAATCGAAAAATAGGACTTTATTATTCAGGCTTAATCTGGAGATCCGGTTCCTACTTTATTATCCCATTAAAAACATTTTTTTCTAAATGATCAACAATTAAGAGGAAAGAAATTAAAACAAAAGTAGTAATCCACCTCATAATAGTTTCAACAATTCAGAGAATCAACGTAAAATTTAAATTTTTGAAGTATAAAAGGATCACATTAAGATAAAAAATCTATCCTCACGTATAGAAAATATAGCTGAGCTACCTGTATGAAATTTAATAATCAGCGCCGGTCCTCACAATTTATAGGCCCGGGGCAAAAGACAAAATAGGCCCCCAACATGATACTAGGGATATTCTATGAATGTAATATTAAGAATTCATTGTCAAAAATAAAATCCATTACACAAAAAAACGTTTTTATCCATAAAACTACTCCGTATCATAAGTCATACAAAACAACTTCTTCGAGCATTCTTAGAAGCAAAATCGTCAATAATACAATCAAGATTAACCTTATCTAACTTGCCCTGAGTTAATTTTTGACGATCAAGATTAACCTTAGTTAGTTAGTTAGTCCTTCTAGTTAGTCCTTTGGTTAAAATCGTCAATAATACAATCAAAATTACCCACCCTCCTTCGTGTGCGTAAATTATCATTGGAGGAACTTCCTATTTTAATAAATTTATCCATTGCTCCTTTTTGAGAATTTATGAACTCCTAAGTTAACTTTCTTTTTTTTCTTTTTTCACTGCCAGATAAATATTTCTTTGGATGCATTTTATATAATATTATAAGAAAATGAAAGAGACAACCTGAAAAATTGTTGTAGAACCACAGAAAAAATCTTAAGATTGTAAGGGCTGGTCAACACTTGCAATATGTAATCCCTGCAAAAAGGGAAACAATGAAAGAACTTCAATCAAATAGAAGTTTGTAACTTGTATGTCATAATAGAAACCTCCTAGGCCTTAGCAAAAATGTAAAATAGGAATCTGCGGATCTGCCAATTGCAAAACAGGCCTCTAGGACTCAATTCAATGAATTCTTAACTAAATAGGCTTCTAATTTTTCTTAAGTTCTTATTAAAAGTACGAACTGTATTAAATGATTAAAGAATAAACAAATCATCAATACCTGTGCGGCAGACCGGCGGTACTCCGTACTCGTCCTCGTCTGCTAGTCTGCTACTCCTGTCCTTGAATCCTTCAAGAGGTTCAATCGTCCAGAAAGGAAAAGCCAAAAAGCCAAAAACCAGTGATTTGAGAATTGAGATTTGAGAACAAGTGAGGCTGAAGCGAAGCTGCGAAGGATGTATTCAAGATTAATAGAATTTTTACCGGTAGCGAAATAATCCGACGCTTGGGAACTGATTCCATAATTGGGAATTCGGGAGTAAAATTAATGCTTAGTTCTCGGCTTCTGTGTGTGGAATGTAAGCCGTCTCCAACGTTAATCGCCTTAGCCGTTTCTTGCTCAAAGTCAGTCTACGGAGCATTAATATTTAGTAATTTATAATTTTATATTAATATTTAATATTTAATATATATATACTACTAAAACTATATATTTTAGGGGCCCCTGTTCCTGGTGGGCCCTGGGCAGCAGCCCAGGCTGCCCCTATACCAGGACCGGCCCTGCTAATAATGTATATTGATTAAAATAAAATAACAAAGACATTAATAAAATCAATTACTCCCTCCGTCCCTTTTTTAGTACCTGATAAATTTTACTAAAAAAAAGAGCTGTTTTTTATTTTTATGAAACTAAGTTGTGATGTAATTGAGTTTTTGGTACGATTTTGTATTCAAATATATCTCATTTTGATGAAACTGATTTTAGATAAACATCAAAACTGTAATAAGCTAGTAAATTGTTCCAACGAAATAACACTTTTAACTTTTTAAGAAGATTTCTCTATATTGGAAGTCAGATTTAGAGATTTTTTATCTTTTCTTCACCACAGCATTTTTTTTTTTTGAGAAACGCCACAGCATTTGATTGAACACTAGATATTTTACTGATTGTTTGATATGTAATTAAATGTTTTCCTATCATAATGTGCTTCTTGGTGACTTTGTCGTTGCTGCTGGGTCGTTGCTTTTTTATAAATACTTTCCTATCATAATATTCACCACAACTTTTTTTAATGAAATCAAGAAACAAATGAAAGAGTCAAAATATTTTTTGTCATTGCTGCTGGGTCGTTTCTGATCTAAGTAGTCTATGACAAAAAATATTTTGACTCTTTCATTTGTTTCTTGATTTCATTTCAAGTTTTCAACTGTTACTCTTCAAGCTGAGAAGTGTCAATCTAGAAATGAGAATGTCTAGAAAACTCCGTGGAAGTTTATAATCATTTCAATATAATTCCTTAATTCCTATAAATCTGTGTTCCAATGTTTTGAAAGTACCTTAAAAGTGTTCTTTTTTGGTTCAATTTTACTAGTTACAAACTTGGGTTATTGATGTTTCAATCCATCACATGGTTCAACGTTTTGGCATCTTCTTCAACAAGTGGCTAGAAGTTCTGTACCATTGGTTGTGTTCAAACCCTAACTTTAATTTGAAGAAGTTACCAAATGGTTTTTAGGCTGGAAGGAAATCTGACCTCCAGAAGTTTTTGCGAATAAACGTACACGGGACAGGATCAATGTTGCTCTGTATTATACACATATAAGGGATGAACCAGGCAGCTGAAGGTTTGGAAGTGATTCAAGTGATACTGCCAAGTTTAAGAGAGAATATAAGTTATCTCAGAGTGCTAAAACAAAGGCAGTTTGAGGATAAATGGTCTCCAATAGTCCAATGTCTCTTGAAGTCTTGAACAACTTTTGGAGTTAAAATGCTGTGTTTACACATGTTATTTATATATATTACGCTTTTCTTTGTAAACTCATTTTTGAATTGATATCAGAATATCAAAAGCTTATCTTTATTTTCCAAACTTTTTTTGACATGCGGAACTTTTCATCCCCTTCTATATTTTTCAGATTTGAGGAGTCTCAATATAAAAATATGAATTAAATTTTTATTTCTTTGACTCATGAAAATGGATAATCTAAACTAAAAATGTGTAATTGCTCTTAGAACAGATTACTCGAATTTCTCTTGATTCTATAGTCACACCTCACAAAAGAAATATTATTGATATATTTACATACCACTCAATGGTGAGTATTTCTAATAAAAGAAGGGTTAACTTATTCATCTGATTGATCATTAAAAAACAAGTTATATATAAAATTTGAGCTTAAGTATTACAGATATCGCATAACATTGAAATCTCTAACCTAAATATGAGGTGGGTTAAGCCTTTACCCGAAACTCCGAAAGAGCTTCCATGCATATTGATCTCAAGTAAACTGGTAAAACGAGTCATTTAGGGGTACTTTATATACAAAGGGAAAATATCTAAATTTTTAGATTATGCAACGATAACATTATATCTTGGTCAATATTATACTTGATATAATTTGTGCAATAAGCAAGATGAAAGTGTGTGGGAGAAGTATCCCGAGTATCGCAATACTCCCAATCTCATTCTCCGCATCCATTATCCTTATCCACAGTATCCTCGGACAAAACCAGGCTTCATGCTAGAATTTCTCGTTCGAACTAAAAGTCCCGAAAAATTGGTTGATTACTTTCCGAAGAATAACATTTGTTCCTTTTGTGGAGGAGGTCACCATTTATTTCTTTGCCCCATTCCTCCATATGACCATCCTTACTGGGCAACTGCTTACCCCACTTCGCCCTCCCCACAACTCACAAACACAAATTTTTTTCAGTCATTCCTACATCCTTGCCGACTGCCGAGTAATGAGCTCCATAATCAATTGTAGGAGACGAAACATATGATGCCTAATATGCAGCAAACCCACCTCAGCCTGGAAGAAACGCTCAAGGAATATTTGGAAATGTTTGCGGCATACCAAAAACCCATGTAGAATCTAATCGACAGGACGGGTCAGCTGGCGGAAGCCCAACCTGAGGAGACCAATAAGGATGATCATGGGATTGAGTCAGACTGCGATGATGGGATTATGATGGATGATACACTCCCTGACGCTTTTTAAGACCCACCTATGTCTGAATTTGAACAAGAAGATAGTAGTCTCGAGTTGTTTTTCCAAGAATACAGGCAAAAGTTTCTAACGATACAAACTGTAACTAATGAAGTCATTAATCACTGTGACTTTCATACAGAAACCCCCCAGTCATTTGATTTATCATTAGTCTCAACACCTGATGAGGCATGAAGCAGATCAGTCATGATGATGGTGCTAATAAGGCAGATTTGGGTATTGAAGATGAGTTGGGAAAAAATGATTACACGCTCCAAGAGAGTGGGGGCAAGGTAGATGATGTCCATAATGAAGAAGTCCCTCTCCACGAGCAAGATTACCCCTCTTGTAACATGCAACAATCCGCTCTTATGTGGTTTCAGATTTGGATTTCTATGATTCACTCCTTGATGATGATATTCCTTTTTATGTAGAGAAACCAAGAAGACACTGATAAGAACAGTGTTAACGAGAGTTGGGATGCTCACGTAGAGAGTGATACAGAGTCAAAAAGAGGTGTTTTGATTGTTCATAAAGTTTTTGAGGAAGAAGAAGATTTTTCCATGGTGCAGTTCGATTACGGTGTTGCTCCTAATCTTTGCATTGAGACATGTTTTGAGCTTCCGGTGATGCCTAGAATGATCAAAGTATTGAGTCATGTTCTCTGTCCACCCGAAGAGGATGTGAGTTTCATCCTTCACTCTTGTGCTGATGAGGGTTATGGACACCATGTGCTGCCTACGTGTACTCGATAATTAAAGGTCTGCGCTAGGGGTGGGCATAAAAACCGAACAGAACCGGTACCGAAGTGGCCCGTAATGGTACCGAACCGAATATCGGGTATTTAAACGGTTCTATAGAATTTAATCCCGAACCGAAACTGTACCGTTTCAAACGGGTACGGGACCAGTTCTAGTCTTCTAGATTTTGAGAACCGAAAAATAACGGACCGAACCGTTCAAAAATAATGCCTTTGAAATTTTTATATTTTCAATACCAATACATATCTTTTCTAGACCAACAATTTTATAACCCAAGTATTTTTTTTTAAAGAAACTTTTATTAAATAAAGGTGAAGAGTACATGAAAGAAAACAAAAACAAAAACAGGAAAACAGAAAAAGAGAAACAACACAAAAGAAAAAAGATCCTAACTAATAGATACATGTGTGTTATATAAATATTGTTCCTTTTTCCTTTTAGATAATTTATGCTATATTTGGTATATATATGATGAAAGAATGCTAAAGTTTTAAAAATCATTAAATATCAGGGACGGATCCAGGATTTCTATTCAAGGGGGGGGGGGGGGGGGGGGGGGCGAAATTTTTCGGTAGTGTAGGGGGTGAAAAAATTTTCGTTAGTGTAGTGGGGTGAAATTTTTTCCCTAGTGTAGCGGGGCGAATTTTTTCCGCTACTGTAGGGCTATGCGGCTAATTTTATTCAAAAAATGACATTAATACATACACATCCCCAACGACATTTAAATCTATTAAGTAGTACATTCTAAGTTTAAAATAGACGATGACAAAGACATCAACCAAGACATTTTTAATAACTTCTACATTGTTTAACCTCATGAATCGGTTATTATTGAATTGTAATTTTTATCCGGCCACCAAGGAGGGTGTTCGTGAGTCATGACTCATGAGAAGTTTTCTTAATATTACAATAGTAGTATGTATGATATTATTATTTTTAGAATAATATGCACCACACACACACACATATATATGGTGCATATCAGGGGCGGATCCAGAATATTTTATTATTGGGGGCACTCGCTACCCAATATGATCAAATGCCAAAGTATAAATTAAATATAAAATATGATTAGTTAAACATTTACTCTCTCTATCCCATAAAATTCTTTCCCATTTGACTTTGCTCGAAATTTAAGAAAATGAAACTAAAGAGGAAATGTGTGGTTCTTGTTGAGAATGAAAAGGGAAAATGAATGTTCGTCACACAAAACCTTCCAAAAAGGTAAATGAGACATCCCAAAAAGATAAGCGGGAAAAATTTTATGGGATAGAAGGAGTATTTAATTCAAATAATGCGATGATATTATATAATCCAAGAATTTTTTTCAAAACTTAACAAGAATATCTTTCAAATATGACCAAAACATAACATATATATTTTCAAATAGGGCATTATTTTTTCCAAGTAAAATCATTCATCCTCATACCATGAATTTTATCAGTTTTATCTTTTACTCCGATTAGGGTGATTATTTTTTCAATCTCCATGCGTAGTTAAAGTGTGTTAGTATTTATTTAGAGTTTAGAGGGAGTCTTATATTTTCATGTGATATATGCACTTTATTTTTTTCGAAAGTGATCTGGGGCTTCATTTATAGATTTACTAAATATATAAAATTCTATACATAGTTATTAATTATATAACTTAACTTAGTAGGGGTTAGTTTACACAGAATAAAAAGTATGGAATATCACATAGATAGATAAGTGTGATGTTTTATTGTCTACGTTTAGTTATTTAGTTGCTCAAGAATTAGATATAAAGAATAAAATTCAAAAATAATACCTTCAGTTAGTTAGAGTTGTGGAATTTTTTTCGTATTAATATTGAATGATTTCTATGGTGAATGAAAAATTTAATGGGGGCACTTTTTATTTTCTATTGGGGGCACCACATTCAAATACAAAATATTAGTAGTACTTTACTAAAGCAAATTGAAAAGTCATTGGGGGCATGTGCCCCCATTAAAATAGAGCTACATCCGCCCCTGGTGCATATTATATTTTAATATTTGTATTAATGCTATAATAATTTAAAGTTTATTATCTATGCAATCAATTATTTTTAGAAAGCAAGAAGTAAATGAATTATGTAATTTAATGTCAACAAACATTTATATTTTGGATTCATTTCACGTGATCTAAAAACTGTGTAATTAGTGTGTCTGATATTTAATATTGTTTGATATACGGAGTATATTTTACAAAATCAAGTACTTGTTATCTAATAAAGATAATTAAACACTACAAAACTAGGAATTCTTATATAATAAGTATCATAAATCTTAAACAACGAGTTATTCTATTGTTTATTTGTTTAACTTATGTAATTATTTTAGATGTTCCTTCTTTTAAATCTTCAATTAAGTATTACATTATGTAACACTATATATTAATTTTGAAAATTAAAAGATAAGGGGGACGAATCTAATTAAATTATGAAAGTTTTATTAAAATATTACATATATGGTAGAAAATTTTGAAAGTCCAAGGGGGGCGGTCGCCCCCCCGCCCCCCCCCCCCCCCCCCCCCTAAATCCATCCCTGTCATTAATGACTATTAATTTATAGTAATGTAGAGTATATGACGTTTTTTTGTATCAAATTTGCGTAGTCTTACAACTTGAATAATATGGTATGAATCTTGACTCTTACGTTTTAACTATGAATTAAACTAGAACATATATATTCAACTTAGAACACAGAAGAAGAATGTTAAAATTTTCCATTATTTTCAACAATTTAATGATATTCTTTTTTATATTTTCACATGAATTTAATAAAGATGATATTATACTGGTGTATCATTGTTTTGCTATATTTTTACTTAATTGTGTTGCACTATTTGTTTGATTTTAAATACAAAAATGTCAACCTCTTGAATCTTTTCTAGTATTTAGTATGCACTTTCTTGTATTTTATCAACATTTCATGTGAATTGGCCGGTGTGATGATATATAATAATTGAAATATTTGTCCAAATGTTCCGGCATGTGTTTGGCATTGTACCGAACCGTTTCGTACCGTTCCGAAACGACATGGTATCGAATGGTTCCAACCTTAGAACCGAACCGTACCGAACCGTTAGAAACCTCACGGGTTCATTACGGGTTTTGCAAAATTACCGGACCGTTCCGGACCGCGCCCGGCCACCCTAGTCTGCGCCACTTAATGACATTTGTTGAGGGAAAGTTGGATACTTCGATGATTAGGGCCCCGCTGCAGTCTTTTCTATTGGAGAGTCTAAATGAGGTAGTTGTGTTGGGCAAACGACGTTAAAAATAGCACTTCTTGGGAGGCAACCCAAGTTTTTTTATTTCTGCACTTTTTTTATTGTTTGCTTTCATAAAACCCCCGGAAAAAAACGGGGTGTTTTTCTGTTTTTGTTTTTCGTTTTGTGTGTTTTGTTTTTGCAGCTCAGGGTCTTGCTTTGGGGATGATGTGTCGGGGTTCACTTGACTCAGTTTAGTTCTTGACTGACCAGAGCCTTAGGGAAGTTTCTGCGACTCTTTTAATCGCATGTTTGTAATGTTGACTTGAGTTGAGTTGAGCACATGGGACCCTTTCCTCTTTACCCCCTTGTGCATAATGCATTTTTGGTCATCGAGGGCGCTAACAAAGTTTAAGTGTGGGGGAGTGAATTGGGCATTCATGCAGTAGTTGTTATATGAGATTATTAGAGTTAGCATGCACATGTGTTAGTTGTATTTTCATAGGAAAGCTTTGTCAAAATTTTTGATTTTTTTCTTTAAACTGCGTCTTTGTGAGCTGACTAGCGTTTTGACTATGCTTTAAAAACATTTTTGAAGTGTTTAGGCTTAAATTACTTGCACAATAATCTAGTTGTTGAAAGAATGAAGGCATTAGTCACCCATTGAATCAATTCATAAATCATTCACCTCACCTGAAAAAGTCCTTTAGGAGAAGTCACTTTGAGCCCGACTGTTTATTGTCTACCCAATTAAATGAGCTTCATAGCCAAATGACACGTTTCCTTACCCGTGGATAATTCTGACATAGTCTTGGTGTTTAGGGAACTAGAAGGTTAATTTGCTAAGTTTAGAGAATTTTTGTAGGAGTCATTTGTGGCACTGTTCTTATGCCCTAAATGAGTAAAATCAGTCACTTTTTAGGAATTTAATATTCTCGAGGATTGCATTGTAGCCATGAATTCACTTAATCAATTGAACTTTAATTGCTATTTTTCCTTGGTGAGGCAGAGATTAGTGTATTTTTAGACAAAAAAATGACTAGCCACTGTATATGAGTAACTTGACAAGAGTCACTATGGTATATTTCTGAGTAACAGGTCACTTGTAGATGATGAGCCAATGGAAATTAATCACTGAATATGTCACTTGTTTGGAAAATTTTAAAATAGGTTATACTTTTGTCTTTTGAATTTAATTAAGTAGTATTCATGAAAAAAGTCTTAAAACTTTGACAGGTTTAATTCAAACGTAGAATAATAAAGTGATTAAAAAGGAAATTAATTAAAATGTTTGGGAAAACAAAAAAGGGAAAAATGACAAAATTTTAAAGAACGGAAATACTACGTAAGACATAACAAATGTTAACTAAAAAAGCTAAAACACATTTTCACATAAGAATGATTAATACAAATTTAAAATACAAAGCACAACAAACAAGAATTTAAAATGCACCAGTGCATAACCAAACAACACTATCAATAATTCAATACATTCACAATTTATTAGTTGACAATTACACGCATTATATTAAAAAAAATTAAAAATACATTAGTGCATTACAAAAAATAGCAATAAAGATGAACAACTAATTAATCAAGCAAATATTTAATCATGTAATAATCAATAAGCAAAATTGTAAAAGAAAAAAACATATTTTACACAAAATATTTTTAATTGGATCGACTTTTTCTTGTTTAATTTGATCTACTCTGGTCTGGGCTGAACCGATATGATAAATGTCTGTTTTATATGTACTTTACAACTGTCGAAGTCTAATTTGGTTTGATCCGATTTGATCTATTCAAGTCTGACTTGATCTAGTTTGAGACTGAGACTAGTCCATGTAAACACATTCTAAGGTTGAAAATCACTCTATTACTGAATTAATTAAGGCCGAATAAATCAACTCATCCATACAGCCATACTTCAACGGGGAGAGTCTTGCCCTTTACTAATTTCACAAACACAATCCTAAATTCTAATTACTCGCAGGCCAAATGAACCGGCATATTCACCCCCGAAAAACGAGTTTATTTTTTTCATTTTTGGTGGGTCTAGGCCCTTGTTGCCCTTTAGAACTACCTTTGGATCAAATGCGATAAAAAAAATTCAGATTTGATTATTTGATATTGTAAAGATTCGAGTCAGATTTGATATTGTAATTTGTCCCAGATCAAATCAGATCAGATGATCAGATCAGACCAGACCAGACCAAACCAGCAAAGTCCAAGAAAAAACATTCAAGATTAGACTGGGCCTTAAAAATTAACAACTAATGAAACACTTTTGAAGTTAACAACTACTAAAAATATCAAAAACATATTTTCAAATTAACACTGAAATCCAACTAATGAAACACCTTCTAAAATCCCTCAAAAAAAAACCTTCTAAAATTAACAACTACCAAAACATTTTAAAATATCTTGTGGAATCAAACATACATTAGTGAGTAATTATTGGTGTACATCTTTTTTGTGCACAGGGGAGCTGCTTGTGTAGTTGTGTATATGTACTCTAGACAGAAAACAGAGAGTTCACAAAAAACGCTTATACTGAGTGTTTTCTATCTACATTATTATACGATCGACTAGAAAAGCTTTGCAATCTCGGCCACATGCAACCAACCAGAGGAGGCTACGCACGCGCTTTTCTATTCATCATCAAAACAAGCTTACTCATGGGCGTAGCTTAACAGGTAGTAGGTAGTGAAGGAGTGTCACAACGGTTAGGTCTCGGGTTCGAATGCCGGCAACTGCGATGAGAGGTTACTATGCTGAAAAATGCATAAGGCTTCTGTAAGTACCGGGGACAGAGCCCCACTCTCTATCTGTTAGATTGTGATTATCTTTTTTTTATTTATCCAAAACAAGCTTCATCCAATTTTCAATTTTCCAGAAAAGTCTTCGTATCAACATCGTCTCCATCTTGACTCCCCCACGCATAGCTTCTGCATCATTATTAATTATTATTTCGAATTGAGAACAGAGTGAGAGGCAGCTTGAAGCTAGGGATTATGGGTTGTTGCAACAGCAAGAACGCGGATACGAAGGCCAGCCGCATGGCTCGGTGGCGCGCCACCGGAATCGTAGCTTTATGCGACTCCAAATTGAAGGCATTCTTACAATTCCTTCCCTTTTCATTTCCCTGTATATTGGTTTTGAATAGTGCAAGCTTCATATCTATTATTAGTAGCTATTAACGAATGAATTTGCTGGTTGTTCTAGTTGTAGAAATCAAAGTTTTTTTTTTTACTATCTGTCCCACTAAGATTGAGATGTGGGACGATTATTAACAAAAATGTAATTATGTAGATGCTATCAAATATTTGAAGTGCACATGAATCAGAAACACACAGATACAACCATATATTCCATGAGACATGTTAATCTGGACGGCTAAAATAGAAAGATGGGATAAAGATACAGGGACATAGGGAGTTTTTTTTTTATGTTGAGGGAGTATTTCTTTATTTGGAAAATAAGTTTTTGGAGAAAGTTTGAAATTTAAGTCTTGATTAACTGCTCTTGATGAATCAACATGCACACATGTCGTGTGTTCTGCAACTATACTGTGTTGTAGATTGTTTGAAGCTAATTTTCAATTGGATGCTAATGTTCAGTACCTCTCAATATAATGGCTAATCACTAATCAGTAATCACCTTAACTGAACTATATAATTGTAATCTGATTTTAAAGAGATAAACTGGTCTTTACAACAACAACAACAACACAAACTGGTCTTTAGCTATGAAATAATATATCTGTGGTTATTTCATGAAGAATGATGATTGTTGACACGTTGGCACTGGAAAGACTGGTTAGCAGATAAGACTGCTGAAGGCTTTCCTTGTAGAAGTATTGTATATCAATTACAAGAGACTGACTTCTATATTTCTCTTCACAGTCATTTCCAGATGAAGTTCTTGACCTAGAGAGATCTGTGCGTACTCTTGATTTGACATGCAACAAAATAGGTATTTGTTTAGTACTTTAGTTTCTAATGACTGCAATTGTCATTTGTTTTCTTCAATCATTTTTTCCATTTTTGGGCTTCATGGATTCAAGGTACTCTAGTTGTTTATTCACTAATTATGTATAGGATTTTACTATCGGAGTCATACACGCATATGGTTTTCTTATTCACAAGACATATCTTTAAAGTTCATATCATGGAGTTTTATTGTATACCCTTTTCAATCTTATAAATTGTATCCCTTTACTTCAACAGTTGATATTCCTGTGGAGATTAACAAGTTAATGAACTTGCAGAGGCTGGTAAGAGGACTTGCATAAAACTGCATTGTCTATATTTATTGCCTTCTATTGGGTATGCATTTCTGTATTGACTTATACATTCATTCAGACTTTAACATAGCACTGCCTTTCAGATTTTGGCTGATAACCATATAGAGAGCCTTCCAGTGAATCTGGGGTTGCTTCAGTCCATAAAGGTTCTGAAACTTGATAAGAATCGAATGAAAACCTTGCCTGAGGAATGTAATACTCTTCGCTCTCAAGCAAGGGCATTTTATGGTCCTCTTGTTCTTCATATTTGATTTTCTGAATATACAAGTACGAGGCTTTTCTTGTTCTTTTGCCAGTGGTAGAGTTTAAGGCTCTACTTTCCTGATTTTACTAACTGCTACAGTATTCATTTGTTCAGTGGGCCAGCTAGTGAAGCTGGAATGCTTATCTGTCTCAGAGAATTGCTTAGTAAACTTGCCTGATGCGATTGGGGGCTTACACAATGTGAGTTCCCTCTAGCTGGGATTTTTACATCTAGTGAAGGCTTTAAAATCTGCTCTTCTTATGGACTTGTTTCGTAATATTAAGTTCAATCGTTTTCCTTTATGTGTTTCTCCATGCTTTACCTCTATATGGCATGATTGGAGTGTGGGCTATGAGGAATGAATTGACACCTCTTTAGGATATATGGTATATCTCAAAGAAAATTTTTATGTGTCAAAATATGTAGAGTGCCCCTTTCTTGTTCTTGTAAAAGACATAAGCCCTCCATCATGCGGTCATGCCCTACTAGCTATTGCAAATTGCTGGTTCTCCCTTTAGTTTCAAATCTCATCACCAACTACAATTATGATTCTAGATGCTGCATGGGAACATTTCTCAATTTTGCTAAGTGGGGGCTGTGGCGGAATGGCACTGAGAACTTTGTGCCATATGACAAAATTTTCTTCATTGGCTTAAAATCTTCCAGTCCATTTTGATGGAAATATGTAGTATGCTAGTAGCCCTTGATGCAGTTGCTTAAGGTGAGGGAGAGTTGTAGAGTTTAAAATCCTAGACATGTAATGCATGCAGTTGCTAGTATCCTAGACTTGAAAAAAAGGAAATTAAAATCCACAATGCATCACTAGTTTTATTATGCTGCAAAACTAACACCCACTTTCTTGGACTATGCAGTTAGTCCTATTAAATGTGTCAAGTAACAAGCTGAAAAATTTGCCAGAATCCATCGGAAAGTGTTCCTCTCTTGAAGAATTGCAGGCAAACGGTAGTCTATGATCACTCTTTTTAGATATCCCTCTCTCCCTATATATATTTAATTTTATATGTATGTATGTATTGTTGAAAATAATTGAAGATTGGGAAAACTGGGAGGCTAAAGGTGGAAATGACTATAAAACAAATTTATTTTTCAACACGTATATATGTGTATATACATATATAGATATATAATTTTCTCTAGCCACATTGACTGTAATGGAAGTTGGTCCATAATCTTCTCTAATGATTAGTGAAAATAATCTTCTCTAAATAAATTGCAAGTATACTAGTAATTTGTAAAAACAACTACTAGATTTCAAGTAGTTTTATTCTTGGAAGCACGGGTACTCCTGAGACATGGGGGCATCCCTAAAACGTGGCCAAACTTTCTTTTTTAAATTCTTGGACGCATGACGGACACGGCTGAACCTTTTTGAAAAAGAAATGGAGATGTATCTTTTCGCTATAACTCAGGTATTGGGCTAAACTGCTAAAACATAAACCACATCTCTCTTATCACTCCCAGCCTCTATCTATGAATCTATTTGTATTCAACTATTCATCACTCAGTGACTCTTGTGGATGCCTGTCATCGAAGAAAAAGCACTAGATGTTACACCATCTCCCCTTTTTTTTATTGTTGCTGCAGTCCCTACAATAATTATCCACTTTTGCTCTGTGTATTCTTCTTCTTCAGATGATGTAACATTGGACATCATTGGTATTGTTTATTTTGCATTTAATATTTGAATGCTTCAAATTTAATGTTTAACTTTAAGACTTTTGTGAACTTTCCACATTATTAGTATGGAGTAATTTTTATTTTATATAAAATTAATGTGGACGTTATATATCATGAAGTTATGAAATATTTATAAAACTTGTTGACCCTCCCCCGCCGTACCAGTGTGTCATATTGTTAATGAACGCCATTCATGGCCCCTGTACCTGGCAGCCTGGCACAATACCTGTTTCCGTGCTTAATAACCTTTAGTGATCTGACGTTGTTGTTCAATTGCCATGGAATGATGAAGCAGCTTTTGAGGACCGGTGCTGTTTGTAATTACTCATTTTTTTATTTGACATTCCCAGTCTTGTCTTCTAGTTTTTCTTAGGGCATGGCCAGAGAGCCCTTTCGGCCTTTCATCATATAGATCTGATTGTTAGATGTAATGATGTATATCAACTTTCACCTTCCCCCAAAAAAAGGTTTGTGCAAAAAACAGCCTCTCCTAATGCTTCATCATAACCTAGTATTCAACGGAAGAATTTTTAGCAACAACACCGAGTCACTGATCTCAGGTTTATTGTGTCTATAAACTTTTCCACTTTGTTCTCTTAGAATTTATTTGCAAATTCTAATTAATTCATTATGACTAATGAGGCATGTAGTATTATGAGCTTGAAGACTTCCTTAGGATGAGTGATGGATCTCTCTAGCATTTTCTCTTTCAATACCTTTTTATTAAACTTTTTTCATTATCATGATTGTAAACTATTGTCACAGATAACTCCATTGAAGAACTCCCTGCTTCTGCTTGCAGCCTTGTACATTTGAAGTCACTTTGCATGAACAATAACAATCTTGGACAGGTGCTTGTCAAATATCTCCATCATTAAGCAAAAAATGCTTCTGAACACCACAAATAATTAAGTATCCTCTATTTTACATGTTAATTATTTCCCCCCGCAATAATACATGGTCATGATTATTTTGAAATAGGACCTAAAATATCACATTTTGAGTTCTGACGCGCAGAACTTCACTATACAATTGATTTATTTTACTTACTCCAAATGCCATGTTCTAAATTATATAATAAAAGTTCATTTTAAAGTAACTCTCCATCTTATTTTTAAAATTAGATGCAAGGCATAAACCCCTAGTATTTTCAACATGTCTAGATGTAAGAAGTTATAGTAGTTTAATAACCAGTGTGATGTCTTTGGTTTGGCAGATGCCTCCAAATTTTTTACGGGAGTGCAAAAATTTACAGAACATATCCCTTCATGGAAACCCTATTTCTATGGATCAATTTCAACAGGTAGATTCTTCTATTATTTGATGCATTGTTCTATTCGATGATTCTTACAGATGTCATCGTAACATCCTAAGTAAATATTAATATTATTTTCATCTGCAGATTGAAGGTTTTCAAGAATTTGAAGCTCGGAGGAAAAAGAAAGTTGATAAACAGATTGAGAGTAATGTGATTATCAGTCATAATGGTCTCGATGTGGGGGTTGACCAATGACATCTCTGCAAGAGGATAGGTGTGTTGGTTTTTCATTACATTTTTTAGTAATGTTAAATACTTAATATACCCTCTGGTGTTACTTTTACCCAAAATACAGGGGAAATTAAACATGTTCATCATCTAAAGTTATCACTCGTTGAATTAATTCTATTTTTGGTCCTACCACTATAATTAGAACATTCCTAGTGGTAGTCCTTACCATTCATTTTTCCACTTTTGGACCCACATCAACATTACCCCAGTGCTGCAAAGGCTCCCAGCAACGGTGGGGTGGGGGGGGGGGTTGGATGTACGCAAACTTACCCTTGTACTAAAGCAGAGAGAATCTTTCCGGATGACCCGTGATGAAAATCGCGCCGAAAATGGCATGGACCGACTGTTACTTCATAATGAAGAAGGGCAGACAAAAAATAAGCCAAAAAATAATGAATCTTTGTCTCCATTGGAAATGATGGAAAAGTCGATGGATATTATATGGATATTAAAAAATTGATCAGGTAAGTGGTCAGAAGGATCGTAAGTGACAAAAATCTATAAGCATGGGGCCAGAAGTGTAAAAATAAAAGTTGACCAAAAGTAATAATGATGTAATAGTGATGGGACCAAAAGTTGTCTTAGTTCATAAGCATGTGATCTAGTTTCTCTTTGTTTAGTATTTGATATAAAGACATGTTTTCCTTAAGTTCATTGTCCCTTGTTATGGTTTCTCAACTGGTACACTTAATCCTGTCATGTTAAATTTTCAGGATCTGAGGATTTTTTTGTCGATGAAAAAAGAAGTTTCCTGCTTCTGTGTCTCAGTGTCTGCATGTTATCCTGCATATGAATTTATAGACTAGGGATGAATATATGATCCAAAATTACTTGCTGCCAGCTGAACTAGAGCACCATGAACCTCCATGATGAACTCTGACAGAGCAGCGCTGCCTTAGTATTCCGCCCTTCCCATGACATATATTGTGCAGTTAGTTACTCATTTTCACATGAATTGTAAATCAAATCCATCCTGTATGACATATACGGTAAGACTCCACTTTTTTCGCTCAGACTGAATGAGTTGATGTTTTTTCCTTTCTAATTTTTAGGGAGGCGTATGAAAAACTGTCCTTTTGCCTTATTTGGCAGTTCCATATTTTTACTCTGTTAGTTTAATCGATTGCGGTCATTCTCTTTGTTGAAATGAAGTTGGAGTGATCATTCTACATGATTTTTAACAACACAGTAGCATCGTAAAAAACATTGTAGCCTTTAAGGTTTAACCAACTACCATAATGACACAAAAAATGGAGTACTCTCCAAGTTCCGATATAGGCTAGGGACTATTTACTTGGCAGGAGACAAGATGAAGCATACTAACATTTTCCTCGATGTTTTTTCTTTTTATTTATCAATCCCCTCCATTCCATTATATGTCTTGCTCATTCAATGAGTCATGGCTGAAGGTATTTTCTATTATATTTTTGTCGCATTTAATGTGTTATAAGCAATAGAAACAATTAAGTAATTAACATCTTTAAATTATTAACTTCATCAAAAGAGCGACAAAAAGTGGTTGTCTCCCTACACTAGTTAGGGTTTTATGTTTTGCTGAGCTTCGTTCATGCGATTTGGATTTTTGTGGAACGAGAGTTTCAACGGCTTTCCTTTTGGGAATTTTGGAATGTGACAAAATGATAGAATTTTCTTCTGTACCTCGGATATGGATTTCAATGGCAAATCTCAAGGAGCGAATTGGCGAGAGCAATTAGGAGAGCGCAAGGATATGATTTCAAATGAATTTTTCGGGGGTTGAAATTCTCTTCTACCATACTATAGCAGTTTGCCCTCCTCTGGAACCACCTTCGTGCGAGAAAGCAATTTGGGAAAAGTTTTTATTTTTTTATTATTTTTGTTATGAAGCAACAGTCAGTCCATGCAATTTTGGAAGTGATTTTCACTATGGGTCATCCGGAAACAGTCTCTCTGTGATGATGATGATGATGATAGAGTACTTATTTTTATTTTTATTCGAGCATGTATGGTTGGAGTATTTTGATTTTTTGAAGAACTTTTGATAGATAGTGCTTCATTTTCGGTCATTTCAGACTTCTTGCCCGTTTTGTGTCTACCGAGTCAGGTTGCTTTGTATGGTGGTTGACTCTACTAAGTCTATTGCTAGGGCTTATGATCGAATCTGTAATAACCGTCTGAATTTTGTGTCTTGCATGTTTGCTCTATATTAATGAAAAACCATTTTGATGCTAAAAAAATTATTAACTTCATCAAAATTTTATAAAGCAAGCTGTAACTCTGTAAGATGACTGTGTATGATTATTATAAAAAATGAGCTAAAAAGAATGTGTAGTTTAACTAATGCATTTGGTAATTATACATTGAAACTTTATGTGCATAAGTGTAGATCTGCAACCAGTTCACATTTAAAATCACATTGTGTTGTTTGTTTGGCATGTAATAAGTTAGTGCAAAGTAAATACTTACATGAGACAATGCTATACTCCGTACCCTCCACTTCACATTTTAGACCAAACCAATTCTCTACGGCCCTAATCTTTATAGGGTATACTTATAAAGTAGAGTAATTTTTAATACTTCGTATAAAACAGATATAATCGGGTGATAGAATATAAAATCCCTTTTAGGTGATTATTATACACTGATTCATTTAATTTATTTATCAGCAAATCAGCAACACGAAGTGAATTCAATCATCCTATCATTTCAATAAATTATACTCCGTAGTCCGTACTATAAATGTTCGAGATATTCGTCGTCGGAACCTGCAAAACAACGTTAGAAAATAAAACCGCTCGAGACGCGCCAGAGTCCTAAAGAAAGTATTTCCGATGGTCGGAAGTCTTTCCCCAAGATATAACGAGCCCTTCGGCGAGATTGTCAGACACAGAATCTACGAGGATAGAATTTAATTTATGTAATCCAACAGTTTTTAGACTAAGATAATATGAGAAGGTTGTCTCCATGCTAGTGAATTTAATTTGTGTGTAGTGTGAGAGTGAAGCCCCAAAATATACATCCAACGCTCCATGCTAACAACCCTATTAGGAGTCCATGTTACTCCACACATCATTTTTGATCAATATACATCATATAGTAAGATACCAATATTCAGTTTTTAATTAATAGTCAGAGATGTGTTAATATCTCTTTTTGTAGACGATCTACGAATCGTGAGGCTCACGATTTGGCAAGAACGCATGTCTCTATCTCAGATTGTAGTATTAGTTACGATATTGTTCCAGAATGTATTGTAAGCCCTTTGACTAATGATTTATTAATAATATAGTCGCTTTTTCTGGTTAAAAAAAAGATAACTTGCGAATGTACTTGTAGTGTTATACGGAGTACCATACTAAGGATGTTTTTACTTGGACTGTAATTTGCCCCAGACCAGACCAGTCCAGACCAGACCAGACCAGTTCAGACCAGACCAGACCAGACTTGGATAGTTATAAAAATACAAAGAAACCAGACCTTACCAGACCAGACCAGTTCAGACCAGACCAGACCAGCAAATTACAGTCCAAGTAAGAACATCCTAAGGTTATTAAAATGTCATAAAATCAACTTTAAAAGTACAACTATTGGAAATTGAAAGTCTCCACCTCGTGGCTCAAATGGACATATGGTCCCCTGAAGTGAATCATTGTGTCCAAAATGGGACGCCGGTCTTATATGTACTCTTAGGTTATATCTACTCTTATGATTTAGCTATGTTGGGGTCATTCTCGTCCGCTCAGTTCACCTTATGATCGATTCCTACATTTGTGTTTGGATCTGATTCTTAAAACTGATTCTGCTTCTTTAGAGAGCAGAAGCAGAAGCTGAAGTGTTTGTGTGAAAGTGCAGAAGTGATTCTGGTGGTGTAATTTACTTTTAAAATTAGTTTTTTAGAAACTGGGGGAGACCAGTTTCTGAAAACTCTTCTTCTGCTTTAAAAAGGAAGCAGAAGCAAAATCAGTTACAAACACCCCTATATTGAACCTCATGCAAGCCAATCAATTCTCTTACAAAATCTCTCCATACCTCAAGAGAATCACTAATTGTTTGTGTTGTTCACTTGTTCTCTAAAGATCGAGTATGATAATAGCACATATACATTGAATTAGAGAAGCTTAGGTATTGTAGGATCGAATCGATATACTTACAACTACACAAAAAAACAATCATTGATAGTGTAAAATGTGCATCTTGCGGCCCAACATATATCATCTTGGAAATAATGTTCACGATGGATTCATATAGATTGGGATAGCAAAGTGTAGTGATGACTTGATAGAGGAGTGAGAGGGTGGGGCTATGAAATATATTATGGTTGGCCTAAAATCTGATCTGGACCAACACATAATCAACAAGTTGGTCAATTTTGATTATTTGGGCTTAATGGGATCATTATAGTTGGTCAATCCTGATCCTGTCCAGCCGGAGGGACAGGACCCGCCATCCGGCCGTCGCCATTTGGGGTCCTTCTCGGTAGAATTTTTTGCTGAAATTTTTTGAGCATATTCTTCATGAAGTCTAGTTTATCCATACCAAATTTCAGCTAAAAATTCAATCGAGAAGACAGTCAAATGATTTTTGGAAGTTACCTGCGCAGTTTATATACATATAAAACGCAGTTATCTTCCAAAAATCATTTGAGTGCCTTCCCGGTTAAATTTTTAGTTGAAATTTGGTATGGATAAACTAGACTTGATAAGGAACATGCTCAAAAAATTTAAAATTGTACCGTCTCTTCATGTATTTTAAAATTGAATTTATGAAATTTGGATACTCCATGTCTTTTTCATAAGAACACTTTATTAAGCAAGTATGACTATCAATATTTACCATATAATTGTTTATATAATAATGCAAAGACCTGCAAAGACCCCGCCGTTTCAAATTTGAAACCCAACCTTGTTTTCTACCAGAGTGACCAAGTAGCTCAACAAGATTTTCATGTTTGGTCTTTGAAACCATAAAACCCCAAAGGAAGAAACACAATGCATTAAGTTAGATATCACCATGGGCGGAGCTAGGGGTGGGCCAACCTAGGCCCCGGCCCACCCCAAATTTAAAAAATAGCTAAATTTTTAAGGTAAAAAATTTTATGTAAATTTTTTTCCAAAAAATATTTTGGGAAAATATCACAAATAGACTAAAAAGTGAAAATTATATCATTATTGTCACTGTTTATCTTTTCTTTCAAGCGTGTACTAAGCTTAAGTTTACTTTTCAAAAATAGCCCCTAAGCTCTAATGCCTTAAGCGCAACACTGCAGCACTGCTACCCACTTCCAGCGAGGGCATTTTAAGCGCAACACTGCACCATCGAAATCCCTTTAATGCAACACTACATTAACTTGGAAGCTGTATCTATCTACCATTTAGATTGAATAACCAAAAACAATGTTTTAAACGTAAAAGTATTGTAAAATACTAAAATATAGAGTATTTATGAACACTGGAAAAAATATAAATTTTGTAAATGTTAAAATCTGAAAAAATTGTAAAAATATTTACAATAAAACAAAACATAAAAAACATGTATTTTTTAAAAAAAAACTATTAAAATATTAAAATTGTGATTGTTTATTTGTTATGATACGATAGTATACGGAGTACTACGTGATAAGAAAATGAAGGAATCGTTATGTTTTTGTTTTAAAAATCAAAGCTTGAAAACAAAAATATTAAACTTTATAAAAAAAAAGTAGAAAGAATGAAGAAAATTAAAAGAGATCAAAGTAAAAAAAAATACACTGAGTTTAAGTAAAAAATTTATAAACTAAAAAATAGAATAAAAATAAAATATGAATAAAAGATATAAGTAAAAAAAACAAAAGTATAAAAAATTAATAAAATATGGTAGTAATAAATCCAAAAAACTAGGGAGCAAGGTAAAAAACTGAATATCAATTGTGAAAATTTTAAAATAGTAGAAAAAATGCTGAAGAATTTTAAAAATTATGATTTTTTATTAATTTTTATGGAGTTGCAAAGTTTAATTCTTATTGTCATTTTACATTTAATTTTTGTTGCAGGTTGTTGCTATGTGTTTCCTTTTGTTTATTTTTGTTTCAAATTTTTGCACATTCTGTTTTTTATTGTTTATTCATGTTTCTTGTGACTGTTTATTTTCAAATTTTGTATGTTTTTACATACATATATTTACAAATAAGCATAAATTGTATAGCTAGGTATATTATAGACATCCACTATTGATAAATGGAATTTAAAAAAAAACTGAGCTAAGATCAAACACATGAAAAACAAAACAAAATAAGTTGAAATTTTCAAGTAATTGCTACAAAGTCTTAGCAAATTAAGTTGAAATTGTCCTTTGCAGGTAGCAAAATTCATAACAAACCCAACTTTAATAACTTGAAGCAATAAATATTCATTCCAATCAAATAAAGATTTTCGAAATCCATATCAATATGACATATGGTTAGATCGAAGATCTCTTTCCCGTAAGCAGTCTTAGTCTCAACAATAAACATCCAACCCCATAAGCCAAAATGCAAGAATGTGAGTTCAGCTACATAGTTTATGTCACTTTCCCTTCAGTTTATAGCTTTTTGAACTTTTGAAAGAGTTTCTTGACTTTCTTCTGCAAATCACCGAGGCTCCATCATAACTGCCCTCACTCGAACCAATTTGCTTGATGAAAAACACTTCTCAATGTTTTGGCATCAACTAATCCCAGTACAAGGAACCACAGGTAGCCACTACACTCAAATGCCGATAATATAAATCCATGAATCAAATTCCTTTTGTACACATTTTTGTACCCATCAGTACACGCATGTGTCTGTGAGAGTTTTTTTTTGTCTGTGAAGCGCGGTCCACAGACAAAAGCTGGTTTGTTTTGTCTGTGAAATTTTCCACAGACAAAACAAGTGAACTTATGTCTGTGGACCGCGCTTCACAGACAAAAAAAACTCTCACAGACACATGCGTGTACTGATGGGTACAAAAACGTGTACACCAAGAATGGTTGATTTTATAAAGACTTGATAACTATATTTATAGAGTCCTGATAATTAGAGTCATTTTATACAGAAGAAAATAACAAATGGAAACATAAATAAACAAAAAACAACAATATTAAACAACAACAATTGAGAACTGATAAACAAAAAACAACACGGTGAAACAAAAAACCACAAAAAAAAATACTACGTAATTTTTACTTTCTTGGTAAAATATTGTGGGGAAACGGATAAAATTTATTACTATCAAGATATGTAAATTTAAAAACCAATTTAAGGTTTCTAGTTTTTTAAATCACTTAGTAGAACTTAACGAGTAAATAATGAAGAAGTAGAGATCCATTGAGAGATCTTAACACCTAGGTACTGATTTTCTTAATAACAATGCAAAACCAACTTAAGTCCTCCTAGTGTAGGTTGACCAACTCTAAGCATGTAATTCCAGTTAATATGTAATCCAATATTATCAGACTCAAACTCAGAGAAAAGAGACACAAAACAATGACACATGTTTAACATAATCCTGGAAAATAGGTGTTTAGCACCCCTAAGGAAATCTCTTATTGGTCTCCAGGCAGAGACTTGATGATGTCTGAATCACTTGGATCAACAATGCTAAGCCACGACACACAAAAATACTTTCCACAGGCTATCCCAAAACAAACATTGTTTCCATTATAATGATGAACCCCAACCTTAGCAAGCATAACATAGTACTCAATCTCAAACTTCCTCAGAGGTAGGCAATTGCTAGATATCAATCCAAGCTCTCCTTTGGAGCTCCTGAGAGTCTTGAGAATGGTTTTGTACCTAATCATACACTTACCGCTCTTCATGGCCAGAGCTAACCCGTTGTTTATGCTCTCATGGTTCTTCTTGGTCTTCTTCCCCACGGTCACAATTGTCGATATGCAGAGATGCTAAGGATCTGACGCTTGGAGGTCGAGGTTTCACATGTTACAGGGAGTTAGGGACACTATATCATGGTAAGGAAATCTAGCTACTTGCTACTTTATGTGAAATCAATCACTCCCAACTTTTAAGTTTTAGTTCATAACTTCATATATATACAATTTTGTAGGATATTGTCTATGCAGACCATCCAAAATTCCAAATCATATGTATCAGAAAAAGATCACATCATAAATCACCATATCATATTATTTTGTGGTTATCACACATTGTACAATTGTTTACCTACAAACATATCATACGTGAATATATATGCCATAAAACAATTATAGTAATAATAATAGCACATCAAGTTATAAAATAGCTCAAATCAAAATTAAGGTGAAATCAGCCAAAATTATAGTCTAAATCATAACTGAAGCTCAAATGCAAAGAAATAGACAATATCTCAATTGAAATCTGGAACAGAGAGTTGAATGTATTAATCCATAATCCATATGTAATAGTAATATCAAAAGTAGAGGTTTCATTAAAGATATACTTACTGAGTGTGTGTTAGGGCATTCCTTATGAAATCTTCGCAGCTTTCTATAATCGTCGACCATTTTGTACTGCAAGAGGATGAGTACGATCTTTTGCTAGCGGATCTTATTGGGCTCTGCGTAGGTCTTCTCCTTACCTTTCTTCGCACCACTGCAGAGACGGATTAGAAGAGGTTGGGCTCGTTTCAGATGTTTTAAGGGTGTGATCGTCATCTCGAAGACGTGTATCTCCCCCGATTTAGATCTCCATATCTGTGATATAAATTGAATTCAGATTCGTATATGCTTGCGATAGATTATGAATTTGGATGTTGTATGCTTACAGATCCGACCGTGAGAGCTTTCTCCGATTCTTATCACGAATGAAAGAGGGAGGTGAAACGCAGAGGACCTTAGCGTAGAAGAAGTATTCAAGGTCAGGAGACTATTTTTGAAATAAAAACTTTAAATTGAAAAGGTGAAAGTCTAAAATTGAAAAGAAAGTGTTCCGGGATTATAAATGAAATGCAAAGGGAAAAAGTGGTTCAAATGAGTAATTTCCACAAATATTTTTTGTACCGGCCCAGTCCGGCCTAGTGCTCTGGCTTCGCCCCTGGATATCACGAATATGCAGCGTACGATACATTAAACAAATTTAAGCTTGAGCCTAATACAGATGAAACACCTAATTTCTTCACGAAGCTGGAGCCCAAAAGGCAAAAACCTCCAATACATTTTCCACATTTAAGTTTGCAAAACTGTTGCAATTTAATTGTCCAGTTGTCCTCCCTACTGCCCCCAATTTAATTGCCATCCTATGCAAACTACGTCCAAGTCAGGAATTTTTAAGCCCAAATCTATTTTTAATTTGCAAACAGTTGTTACTCATGTGGATCCGACTTGTTTTTCTGAGGCACATAAAAATTTAAAATGGCGAAAGGTAATGGCTGAGGAATTTAATGCACTTATTACTAATAATACTTGGGATTTAGTTCCGTTTGATAACACTAAAAATGTAGTTGGTTCTAAGTGGATTTATAAAACTAAATTTCACTCCGATGGTTCTATTGAGCGCCATAAAGCGCGTTTAGTTGCTCAAGGGTTTAATCAGCAGGCAGGTATTGATTTTTCTGAGACTTTCAGTCCAGTTGTTAAACACACCACTGTTCGAATTGTTCTTACACTTGCTGTTTCTTATGGGTGGGGTATGCGTCAATTAGATGTCAAAAATGTTTTTCTTTATGGTAATCTCACTGAGGAAGTTTATATGCGTCAGCCGCGGGGTTTTATACATCCCCAATTTCCTGATTATGTATGTCGTTTGCGCAAAGCCATTTATGGCCTTAAGCAAGCTCCGCGGGCATGGTTTCATCGTTTCAGTAGTTTTCTCCTCTCTCATAATTTTTCGTGCAGTAAGTCTGATAATTCCCTGTTCATTTTTCGTTCCGGGTCATCTATTTTGTATTTGTTGTTGTATGTGGATGATATTATAATCACTGGTAATTCTTTCTCTCTTGTCACCTCCTTTATTCGACTTATTGCCTCTCAGTTCGCCATGAAGGATCTTGGTGATCTTAATTATTTCTTAGGCGTTCAGGCTGTTCACACTCCTACTGGTTTGTTTGTTTCACAGCAAAAATATGTGTCTAATCTTCTTCACCATTTTCACTTCCATACTTTGAAGTCTGTTCGAACCCCCTTAGCCACTCTTACTTCTCTCTCTCTCATGGATGGCGAGCTCTTAGCAGATGCTACTGATTATCGCAGTATGGTAGGTGCATTACAATATTTAACTTTGACACGACCTGATATTACTTATGCAGTTCATTTAGTGTCTCAATTTATGCATGCTCCTCGTACTACTCATATGCTTGCTGTCAAGCGCATTTTCAGATATTTACATGGTACTTTGGATCATGGATTATTGCTGCAAAAATCTACTGCACCCTTACGTATTTTGGCCTATTCTGATGCTGATTGGGCTGGCTGTCCAGACAGTTCTCGCTCTACTTCTGGATTTGCTGTCTTCTTGGGTCCAAATCTTGTCTCTTGGAAATCAAAAAAGCAGCTCACTGTGTCCAAGTCTTCTACTGAGGCAGAATATCGTGCCATTGCATATACAGTTCAGGACACTATTCATATTCGGTCCATTCTGTTTGAGCTAGGCTTTCCCATTCGTGCCCCAGTTCAGCTTCTGTGTGATAATGTTTCAGCTTCATACTTGACGGCTAATCCAGTTCAGCACGCTCGGAGCAAGCACATCCAGATTGATTATCATTTTGTTCGAGAGAGAGTGGCTCATGGAGATTTACGTGTTACATACATTCCTACTCATCTTCAGTTAGCTGATATTTTTACTAAAAGTCTTTCGAGTCAGCAATTTCATTTTTTAAAAGACAACCTGCGCGTTTTTTCTCCCGCACAGTTTGAGGGGGTGTAATAGCTGATACATATTAGGAATTATTCTGTATTTAGGAAACTCCTGTTTATTATAAATATATCTCTCAGGACCCTCATTAGGTAACCGGTTCAGTTTATTCACACATTGTACAACAAGTATATGCACAATATATCCAATTGACAAAATGAGCATTTTCATATGCACCAGTATTACTTGGATGAAAATGAATATTGTACTCCGTATAGAACAAAAATGGGTAGAACATTCTCGCAAAAAAAAATGGGTAGAACATAATATGAGCAAGATGAAATGAACACTCTTCTAATTCAAAATGAGCAAATATAAAAACAAATAACTAAAATGCTGACATAGTTCCCCTATGGCACCCCAACCATCTTGAACTGCAATATTATTTACTATTAATAGCAAACATTTCAGTACAAAGGCTGAAATGTTTGGCAGAATCCATTGGAAACAGCTGTTGATCAGGGGGTTTAACAACTTATTGAAGCAAATGACTCTGACACCTTGTTACCTCATGAGGCTAAACTGGTAAAGTTGCATGAGTCTCATCCCCACATTATAAGCTTCACTAAACTAATTTACAACGAGCAACAGCAAGTGCAACAACAACATCAACAGCAGCAGCAACCACGTTCCTTAATTAGAAGAGGTTGGCTTTAGGGGAGGGTGCATCAATCACCTCAATCTGGATCTCAACTTCACCACATTCTACATTTCTCAGTCGAAGTATCATCTCTTGTGTCATTTTACCGTGCTCCCAGACAATGTTGCTCCCAACTGCCAAGCAGTTTTCCTCGCTTGGCTCCACACTATGAACCTTGGAACCATCTGGCAAGCCTTTCAACCCCATTTTCATTGCTTCGAGGTATGGTTTTATGTCTATCTCTGCGTCTCCCATTTTGTCGTCTACGGTGAATGTATCTTTGTCATAAAGAGTCTGGACAATATAAACTTATCAGTTAGGCAAGAAATGGTGTGTACCATATACGAAGTATGAATGAAGCTAAGATTCCATCGAAACATGCCCACACACAACAAATCACATAAATTTGCACATTTTAGGACTAAAAAGTGTCACAATTTCAATAGTTGGACAAATCATGTTGATTTGAATTCAATGATCAAATGTGGACAAACACATCAACTAAATGAAAAAATTATGCTCACTGTTGTTGGACTATTTATTATATAACATTGCATTTTTTATGCTTCTAAATGCATGTTGTGGAAGAGCCATGAGAACTATAACTTTTTTGGCATTTGGGTTTTTTCATGAAATGAGTTTAGTACCCGTCTTTTGATTTTTTTTACTTTTAGTCATTGTGGCTTAAATACATTCGTTACAGATCTTTGAATTTTTTCACTCAAATAATGACAATTACACTTCTGATCATCTAAATATTGTGAGAGTGACACTATTGGTCCTCCAACTATTGTTCAAGACCTCAAAGACAATGACTACAGACTAGAGTGCCACACAGGACTAAAACAATAAAGAGAAAATTAACACATGTATGAGTAAAAGAGGGATAGTTTCCCAATGAATGACTAGGGTAGTTTCTTTCCTTAAATCATGCGTAAATGACATGCCGCGTGTATGACATTTAACTGCAATTACTTCATGCGCCCATGTATGACATTCCCTGTTTGGTTATACGGTAGATACAAAAACAGTTACAGTCATACTTTAGGAAAAGTCATAGGTTTCAGTATTATTGAGGTATTTTTCCCAACAATAAACAAAATCAAAGACAAGTCCTAAAGATATTTATTAGTACTATGTACGCTATGAGATATATCACTTTTTTTTGAAAATTATGAGATATATCACTTACAAGTGTGATTGGGGCATTTGGATCATGTATAGCAAGACTCATGTCCACTTCCCAGACTGGGTTGCAACTATCCTTGACAACAGGAGACTTCACTTTCTGCAAAATATAGACTTTACACAATCAGAATAAGCTTGCTTATCACCATATCTTTTTTTATCAGCAAGAAAGCAAACATTGTTAGCTCTAAAATTCTGCACATTTTGTGCTCCTTACTCTCTACCAGAGGCTTGTGATAGTAATCACTCACCAACTCAACCACCTTGATGATATTAAGAATTAAGATTAGCTTTTTAAAGGTGAACCTAGGAGCATCCCAAAGCCTTATGAGCGCTAATTTGACTATGTTTGATGGATAGTTCTTGAGCTATGTTTGACAGATATTTCTTGAGAACTTAATGCAAGCTAGAAAAAAAAGTGACAACTTATAGGGATGTTAATTAGAGGCTATAGAAGACAGCAGCCAATGCTGGGAAAAAAGCAGAAGAAAACAAAGAACTCAATGACAACTACACAAGGGAGTAAAAATACAACTACCAAAATATATTTCCTTAAGGTGACAGCAAAGCACAACTGGGGAATATAATCTTCTCCAATATCAACAATGCGCGCGTGATATCATACATTTCTCAACCAAGTCAATGTCTTCTAAGATGATAGCATATTTTTAAAAATAATACAGAGTAATACACAACATCAAATCCATTTACTTCGCTCTTTAATTCCATATATAATTAGCAATTCACATGTAGCCTTAGACTTCATTGCACATTTGCACTCTGACAAATATCTACTTCAATGAACATATAACATCGTTCACTATTGGGAATAACTTGTTAGTGACCAGTGTTGCTATAAGACCCGTTGAATAGAAACCTCACGGATGTGTTATCTCTATGGTGATTATGGCCTTACGGGGGTTGTTAGTTGAACGAAAACTTTTTATTGTGTTGGCTTAGTCAAATTGCTCAAACAGGTTTTGATAAATATTTTTTGTCCTGGCTTAATGGCTCCATATGCTAATTCTCAAAAAGCTACAATGAGGACTTATTTCATACTCCGTATTTTCATAGCCTTATTGAATTTATATCTTATTATATGACTCATTTATCCCTCTTTTCCCTTATTTTCATCTCTTTTAACTTTATATTCTATATATAATTATAATAACATATCGCTTACGTTGTACATAACTAGTTATATGTATGAACAAGCAAAGAATACAGGGAAAACTAAAGTTCGAAGCTATTGCTATTTATTATTCTATATCATGTAAAGTAAATGAACGGTTTGCAATTCAAATTTTATAATCATTATTTCTAAAGTTAAATTGTTTTAGAATTGATTTATATCTATATATAACCTGATAACCAATAATAATTTAAGAAGAGTTATTAACTAGATAAAGCTAAATACATACAACCTTACAACTCAAATCATTTTATATAGTCCACTAGTAACAACAAGCAGAATATATAGAACTAGTCACTTGGCATTAGCTAACACATTTCTTTTCAATTTCAGTGAATTAATGAGATATAGAAAGTCCTTGATGGAATAGAAAGCTATTACATGACTAAAAGCTCAAACTTCATTTTCAAAAGCTTTCAAAAAGAAAGTCTAAATGGTTAGCATGCTTTAGAGGTAGGTCCTGGGACTCCTGGCAGTTCAGCAGTTACTCCTTGTTCAATAAATTAGTACTTTTTAGCAAAGGTCTTGAACAAATAGTACTCCATTAATCAATTCCTAGCTAGTTAATGACTCATCTCTCTTTTGGAAAAAAAATGGAAGAAAAAAATCTATAGAAGCATAATTGTGAGCGAAATCCATTAAAATATGAAATTTTACATAAAAAATGTAAATGTATGTCGAAGAAACTGAGGTAAAAGATAGAGACCTGATTTCCCATTGTAATTACAACATACGGATCACTGCTATGCGTATCTCTGACGGCAAGATTGATGCCTCTGCGAACCCGGATTTTCAGAAGACCCAAAAATTCCATTTTTATTCAAAAGCAGTATGAATATCTGGAGATGTTGAAATCCTGAATATACTTTAGGAATTAAATGCTTATAACTTTGGCTTTATATTTCATTCACGTGTACCCTCCAATTAAGCACCGCCTTTAATAATTCAGGTGAGGTAGTGCTATGTTGTCGAAATCCAGTTCGTATACAGCGGTATCGACCCAAAGGGGAGCACTGTGCTCTCACACCCAAAACCACGTACTTTTGTACAATTTTAAAATAAAATTGTGTGAACAGTAACATGTGAACAGTACACGCTTATACAATAAATATTTTTTTGTCCGAGTAGTATGAATGATGTAACTCACTTGTAAAGAAACGTAACTCACGTTATTGATTTATGTAACTCAAGTCCAGTCGAAATGTAACTTGTCAAATAAACATAAAAACGTGGGTGAACAGTGACTGTGAATTCTCCCCAATTATTTTCATGATGTAAATCCTTTGTAATGAAATGTAACTCACATAATTATTACACATGTGACTTCTGTGAGCGGCAAACGTAAACCGCTTGTTATGATATCTAACTTTACGTAAATTGAAATGTAATTCGAGGGTATAAGAAATGTAACTTGAGGAAAATAAAAAATGTAAATCACTTTAATTGAAATGTAATTTATGGTGAATAAAAAATGTAAATTGTCTTAATTGAAATGTAACTTATATTAAATCGAAATGTAAATTGTTTTAATAAAAAATGTAAGGGAAAAGGTGCAAATAAGCCCATGTACTAACCAAAAAAGGTCAAATAAGCCCTTATTTAAGAGGCTCTGTCCGGCCGTCGTCATTTGGGGTGGTTCCCGGTGGTATTTTTTGATGAAATTTTTTTAGCATCTTATTTATCAAGTCTAGTTTACTCATACCAAATTTCAGCTAAAACTTCAATCGGGAAGGCATTCAAATGAATTCTTGAAGATAACAGCGCTTCTAACTGCGCAGTTATTTTCACAAATAATAAAACTTTTATGTACACAAGTTTTTCCATATGCATATGTGTTTTTAATATAATTTGTTTTAGTAACCAAATAATAAAATCACTCTACATGTTCGAATTTATATATTATTTCATATTAGCACATAATTAAACATAAAATGTACGGAGTAAAACATTTCTAGCAATACATTGAGTTACGAAATGTAACAAGTGTTGCCGCTGAGAAATACCACAAAAATTCACTATAAAAAATTATTTTCCACCACAGAATCTTTTGAAAAAGAAAAAAATTGGAATCCGAGGTTTCCAAAACGTAGTGAAACGGGTTTCCAAATTTTTCTTAATTACGGAAACGGCCTCAAAACGGGAATTTGAAGTTTCCGAGTTTCTGAAACGCTTCCGAGTTTCCGAAACGTGGAAACGTGAGCGATGGAGAGTTTTCGTGCTTCCTAGTACATTTCTATAAAAAATCAATATCAAAATTGACTACACTCAATTTTTTAGTAAAATCATGCGAGCATTAGCTTTAGGATGTCTTATCAAAATAAGGTCTGATTTGGTTTGTTTAAGCATGGTCTAAGCATGGACATCTTATTCGAATTGATCTAGACGATATCTGGTCTCTTTGTGTTTTATTAACTGTCAATGTTTGGTCTGGTCTGTTAAAGATTGATTTGTTATGTCTGATCGGGTTAAGTCCGGTCTTATTTGATCTGATCTAGTTTACTCTGGAATTGAAATAAGTTCAAGTAATAACATCTTTCTTTTCATCAATGATCAAACATATCGAGAAACTACAAGTAAATCGTACAGAACGTGTAATGATAACATAAGATCAATATTAGAAATAGAATGAACACCTTTGGAGTGAAGCATGAAGAGCAAGTTCTTGTTCATCAATGCTAGTCAATCCACCCGTGCGTTGCACGGAGAACAAATGAAATAATTTTTTACAAATAATTTATTTCATGAAGAATGTGTATATACAATACGTATATATTGTATAAAAATAAAAACCGTGCGTTAATTTATTTCATGAAGAATGTGTAATGATTCTAATAAGATCAATATTAGAAATAGAATGAACACCTTTGGAGCGAAGCATGAAGAGCAAGTTCTTGTTCATCAATGCTAGTCAATCCACCCGTGCGTTGCACGGAGAACAAATGAAATAATTTTTTACAAATAATTTATTTCATGAAGAATGTGTATATACAATACATACGTATTGTATAAAAATAAAAACATGATAAAGAATTGCATTAGAATACATGTATGATAAATGTTAGTCTGTTAGAGATACACCAATTAGTATAAAACTACCAAATAAGTATTCTTTCATTCCAAACGTATTTTGTCTAATGAAGATGATAACAATTGTTATCATGTCACAATCACATATGTAGTATTATTTAGTTATAATTATGATGATTATTCAACACATGACACTACTTTTTACTATCTTGTTGTGTTTTAAAGTTTCTAAATATATTCCATCTAAAAACTGAAAATATTTATTTTATTTTATTTTTTATTTTATTTTTTACCCCATAGGGCGTGGGGGGAGGGGGTTTGGGGGTCTGGAGTAAACTGGGATCAATCTCACTCCATTGAGAATTAAACTCGGGACCTCCCATAAGGAAGGATGAATCGGCGACCAGCTGGGAGGGACCTCCCGTAGAAAATATTTATTTAATACTCCATAATATCTCTTCATTCATCTCAGATCAATATATGTTTAATAAAAGCTACTGATCAAGATTGTTAAAATCACTATATGTTTTATAAGAACTACATATCCATGTTGTTAAAATCGCGAGTTGAATCGTAAAATTATATAATTTAATATCATTGAACCAATTTGACTCGTAAACAAAATTGGAAATGCTAAAATTCATTTCAAAATCGGGGAACATTATTTAAAAGTATGATTTCAACGAATTTTTAAATTAGTTACTTGTTTACTAATGAATAGTTATAGTAGAATTAAATGAATGAATTTTGTATTTTATGTTCGTTGCAACTAATTATAAAAAACAACTACTCCCTCATCTTGTTTTTTTACCCCGGAATGTCAACCACCAAAATCAGTGTGGCAAATGTCAGGGGACATTTTCCGTGTTTTATTAATAATATCAAACTTACAACTATCAGGGGGACCAAACCAAACCAAACCTGAAAGAACAAAACTGAAATTACATTCTAAATGAAGGAATACCAAAATAATCCATCCAAAAAGCTCTTTTAGAATGAATTGGCAGCAAATCGGGCCTTATGTAAATAATTGGTGTATCAGCCTGGATCTGAGCCAAATGATGCGCATCCCAATTACCTTCGCGATTGATATGCCCGAACTGAAGGCGTTGCCTAATTCGGATCTGTAAGATTTCCTGAAGCTCAACCATCCACCTTATTCCTGCATTACATTCCAGGTACCTCAAAGATAGCACAACATCGGTCTCAACCTTAACATCACTGAAGCCGGCCTCAGCAACTCCCTCATCTTGTTAAATTGTGCTAACTTTATTTTTGCAACCGCCCCAACAAAAATTGTCATTTCCATTTAAACTAATAAATGTGTAGGTAAATTATTTTTCTGAACTGATTTGTAAAAATCTCAATCACATACAAAGTAATTTTTACTTTATTTATATTCTACATGCAAGTCAATTCTAGACACATTTAATGGGGGTACTAAGTATTATCATTGTCCTTTACATAATATTTGTATCCAAATATATTGTAATACTCTATTTTATATTATGAAATTAGAGCATTTCATTTTTAACTTTATTATATTATGTCTCTTAATTAATTATGTATATGTATTTTTTAATATATTTCTAATATTTTTTATATGTAATGTATTTAAGCTCAATATAATTATTAATGTATTTTTTAACTTACTACAATTAATTAGGTTGGCACTTAATATGATTTCACTAAGTAATGCTTCATTAATAGTGACAATAATTTTCTAAAGTTTTATTTATAACTTACACCAATTAATTAGGTTGGCACTTAATGTGGCTTCATTAAGTAATGCTTCATTAATAGTGACAACAATTTTCACTTCTTTTGGCTCCAAATAGATTTCTGTTTAGATCTCCACCATGTTCTCTTTATATATACAAGTGTGTGTGTGTGTGTGTGTGTATATATATATATATATTAATATATATATATATATAAAGAAAAGATAAAGATATTGTAGACACTCGCCCTAGCTCCTCCGGGACCAATTCCAACCAGAAATAAATTTGCGGAAATACTCTGTTTCAGTATTATTTTTCTTTAGTTCGAGTGGGTATGATTGGAAATTTGGATATTTTGAGAATTTTTTCTAGATAATGATTTGTTTCAATTCTGATCGTTTTAGGCAAAAAATGAAAGAATGACAACAATATTAGCGTAGACTTTTCAATTGCCAAGAACGAGACCAATTCTCGTTTGGGACAAAAAAGTGAGTTAAAATGTTTGAAAAGCCTAAAATGCCCTAACCAAACGTCCATGTGTCTCTTTCTTTTACTCATCAACGCGTCAAACATTCATCACATCATCTTCATTCCTAACCATTGCTCGATATGAAAATAGCCGCCGCTGCCGAGATGCCGAGAAAGAGAGTCATCTTCGCCTCTCCGTGCCGATGTTGCTCTGTTGATGAGCTTCCCTCGTCTGCTGCAACTTCTCCATTCTTAGTTTCCATTCTTCTCGCCCGCAATTCTACCGCAGCCCTCCCAACACGGCAACCAACGAAGAACAGATCTGGAGCTTGGTGATGGTCTCCGCTTTGGTACACCTCGGCTATATCCGTCGTTGTATTTGATTTAGAGCCTTCACAATCGTCGCTAGGGTTGCTCTTTAGTAGATTCAGACTATCGCGGTGACTAGGGCTTTGTTGTTGCGGCATCTATGGTTTAATTTCGGTTGGTGGCTACCTTTCCAGATCTGATTCCCAGCAGCTAGAGTTTCTGCCTGTGGCTGGGCGGTGCTGGTCGGCGGAAGGGAATCGGCAGGCCGGTGGTAGAAGTGTGGTCGGGAACTGACAATGGCGGGGCTGAGTTTTCAATTCAATGAACGACAGTCAACATTGTAAAACTCTCAACAGTGGCCGCTAGATTTCACACGGTTGGGGGTGGGGTAGTGGTAGGGCATGGTTGGGACGTTGTGGTGGGGGTGGTGGGGGTTGGGGCATGGGTGGTCACTAAGGGTGGTGGGTGTGGTGGTTGGTGGCGGTGGAGGTCACTGGGGTGGGGCGGTGGATGTCACCGGGGTGGGGTGGTGGAGGTCACCGGGGTGGGGCGGTGGAGGTCATTTGTTGGGTTGGTCACCGATCAAATTGGTCATATTACTGGTCGGGATAGTCACCGGGGCGGTAGTAACTAGGACGGTGGTAACTGAAAAAGAGTAATAACTGGGATGATGTCACTGTAGCGGTAGTAACTGAGACGGTCACTATAGGTAGTAACTGAGACAGTGTCACGATAGTGATAGTTACTGAGATGATGTCACTGTAGTGGGAGTAACTGAGACGATGTCACGAGAGTGTAGTAATTAAAAAGGTGTCATTAGAGCGGTAGTAATTGAGACAATGTCACTGGAGCGGTAATAATTGAGACAATGTCACTGGAACGATTGTAATTGGAATAGTGACCTGAAGCCATTGTAACTGAAAATCTGAAATCATTGTCACAATTTTCATATTGGAATCTTTATCTTCATAATAAAATTAAAATAGGAAAAACATTGAAAATTTGAAATAGTATTTTAAATTAGAAAAAACATGAATTGCAATAATTGTGATACAGTGCATTGTGAAGCATTGTTAATTAACATAGAATGCCACGTTTACCTGATTCAGAAGAAGGTAGGTGTCTTTATGTAGCTTTAAAATTTATTCGGGAGAGTTGCCGTTCTTAACTTACGGTACCGTGATATTGTTTCCAATTATGTTACCCGCTAGATCACTTTTCCGGCTTTTTTAAATTTGACTCACTTTTGTGGAATTGAGCCTCCTAATACTAATATTGATGTCCTTTTCCCGCAAAAAATTGCTCGTTTTGTATCTAGCGAGCCAGATTACTTTGTACAAGGTGATTGACTCTATGTTTATTTCTAAGGCTTACGATCACATCTATAGCAGTTATCCCGATGTTGTCTTGTATATTCATCTAGTAATGCGGTTATGCGGGGTTCTAATAGAATAGATCATGTGTAATCATCTGAGTTTATTTTTATCAGAGAATTCAAAATTGGGGGGTGACTAGCAAACTCGGTCTCATGATGGTGCGTTGTTATTGAAAGTTGCGTCAGAATATCACTAGCGCTCACGTGGTAGTGCATTAAATGTGTTTGCTCGGCATAGAGAACCGGACCAAACCACCAAAGGTTCTAGAGACAAGGCCAAGGGCTCATGCCGAGGGGTCGTATGAGTGACAATATCTTTTTGGGTCAATTTTGTTAATAGCCCATTATGTATGTTATCGTGGCCCACAGTTACCGGTGGCCTGTCCAAAGGGTAGTTGCTTGTTTGTTGGGCTTTCTACGACCCATTAGGCCTATTTTTGTGTAGTCTGATTATGTGGGTAAGCGATTCACGACCATGTGCTCCATCAGTTATATTACACTAGTCAATTAGTAAGAATGGTCATTATTACACAATTGTTGAACTCATTGTTAGGTGTGGTACGACCGTACGAGCATAAGTGTAATACGAAGTATATATTTTTCTCTTAATAATTGTTTTCTTTTGATTTTTTAGCTTATTAAAATTTATATATTTATTTACGATTAAATTGTTTATTAGTTTGATATTATATTTTTATGAGTTAGCAACTTATGATGAACAGGATAACAATTACATATGTTTTTATTTGTTAACGGATAATTGATAACACACACGCATTGAACCAATATGATACCATTGGTTTAATAGTCACATTTTCGATTTTTTTTTTGTCCATTAACTAATTTTATTTTAGTATTAATCCCATCAAAGTTCCTTTTAATTCACAAACATTGCATATCGAGACCATTCTCGTATCCACCCTTCAACTCAACACTAGTCCATGAAAGATTGGATAGTTCATGATCTCGAGTAAATAATTAGTTAAAAGGGAAAGTGAAAAGTTTTTTGGAAAAACAAAAAAGGTAGGATGAGAGAGTGATAAGGGAAGAATGAAATACTATAAAATACGCAGTACACCCGTCCCATAAAATTTAGCCAAGTTCTCTTTAATTGCTCAAAAAAACTTTGTAATTTCTATTTAAAGTAACAAATATGTTGCTAAAATTATTTCTCTCTCGTCTACACATATATCAACCACACAATTTTTACTTTATTATTCTACGTGAAAATCAATTTTGACCAAATTTTATGAGACCGAGGTGGTTTGATTTAAAACTCCACTATGATTCATGATTTTTAAAATCCAAAAGAATGAATGAAAATTTGAATACATCTAATTTTTTTAGACTCTTAAAAGAATGCATTACAATTTTTTTTAGACTCTTAAAGGAATACATTACAATATATATCACTCTTATACAATTCTTTTTTTATGGAATGAATACGGGAAATTTGTTAAAAGAGTCTTGTAACTTTGGCCAATAGCCGATATTGATCCTATAACTTTACATACTTGCAAAATATATCCTTCAACTAATATATTTGTTCAATTTGAAGACATTGCCATTGGAAGTTAAATTTTGGCCGGAAAGTAACATGTCAATCTCCCGTTGTTGTAATCTTTTCCTAACATTTGCAGCTGACTTGGATGTGGGCCCCTTTTATGACTTATTCCCAAACACTTCACTGTGCTCTGATCTCCCAAATCCCCCATTAGAACAATAAAAGCACAAAACCTAAGAGAAGAACGGAGGCTTCGTAATTCTTGGTCTCGCTTCTCCACATATGGAAGGAAGGTGAGTGTGTGTTCCTCTAAAGTGCAAATAATGGCTCAGGTAAGGATCTATGGAATATCATTGTGGTAAGAAGGCCGGTGTTTCAACTTCATAGACTGACATATGACGAGAGAAAGAGGTTCCATGTGTGCTCTAGAAACAGAGTAAGAACTCTAAACTTTTTAATTTTGTAGGTTTCGAATTTTGTTTGAAAAAATTAAATATTTTATATGTAGTATTACTTTGATATTAGAGAAAAAAAATTCTAATGTTAAAGGTACTAACAAGACATTGGAACAAGAATAACAGTTGATTAGCAAAACTAACGAGTTGTCTTTTACCTGGACCGTTTCTATGGTTACAAATGGAGGCTTTTAAAATTGATAAGTGTCATGAATTTTTTTAAAGAAAATATCCTGAAGTACAGTTTTTTCTTTATGTTCATTTTTACAATTTCGTATTTGGAATTTATAAGAAATAAATTGAAGATGTATTATTTACTACTCCGTATTCAGTTTAATCTAGTTATTTTTTTAATGTTTTATGAATGAGAGAGTGTTTTCTTTATGTGCGGGATGTTTTAAAATAAGGAGTGTTTGGGAGGGAACCAAAAACAGGGTCTCAAGTCTAGGTCAACTAGGCCATATGAAGAAAATATGAACAATTGACGCTGATGTGTTAATTTCCGACGGAATTATTACTTTCCGACATAAATGTCCTGAAATTGGACAAATATGTTAATTAGAGGACGTATTATGCAAGTAAATGAAGTTAGAGGACCAATATCGGGCACCGCCAAAAGTTACGGGACTAATTTTACAAATTCCCCGAATGAATACATTACAAAATTTTAATAAGACTAGGGGTGGGAGCGGTCCGGAACGGTCCGGTAAATTAGCAAAACCCGTAATGTATCTATGAGGTTTCTAACGGTTCGGTACGGTCCGGTTCTAAGGATAGAACCATTCGGTACCATGTCGTTTCGGAACGGTACAAAACGGTTCGGTATAATGCTAAACACATGCCGAAACATTTGAACAAATTTTGCAATTAGTAGATATCATCACGCGAGCCAATTGACGTGAAATTATGATAAAAAAAACTAGAAAGTGCATACTAAATACTAGAAAAGATTCAAGAGGTTGACATTTTTGTATTTAAATTCAAAAACACTCAAACATTTAGTAAAAATATTGCAAAATGACAATGTACTATCGTATAATATCATCTTTATGAAATTCACTAGAACATATAAAAAGAATATCTTTAAGTTATTGAACAGAATACAAACATTTAATGTTCTTCTTCTTTGTTCTAAGTTAATATTAATTCTAATATAGTTCATAGTTGAACCTTAAGAGTTGTGATTCAAACCATATTAATTAAGTTATAAAACTACACAAATACGGAGTATGATACAACAAAAGTCATCTACACTACATTACTAGAAATTAATAGTCATGAAAGTTTTTTTTAACTTTGACATTCTTTCATTATATACCAAATATAACATAAATTAATTATCTAAAAGGAAAAAATAATACTCCGTAATATTTATATAACACACACCTATGATCGATACTTACTTGGGCTATAAAGTTGTTGGTCTATAAAAGATATTTATGTGTATGGAAAAATATAAAAAAAATCTCAAAGACATTATTTTTGAACGGTTCGGTCCGGTATTTTTCGGTTCTCGAAATCTAGGACCGGTCCCGTACCCGTTTGAAACGGTACGGTTTCGGTTCAGGATTAAATTATATAGAACCATTTATATACCCGATATTCGGTTCGGTACCATTACGGGCTGGTTCGGTACCAGTTCGGTACGGTTTTTATGCCCACCCCTAAATAAGACACTTATTAACATTGGCGTCTAAGGCCAATGACGGCAATGAGTGCTAAACAGCCCATAGGCCCATTTACACCTTCTCTACCGCATATCATCTGGAGCCCTTTACCTCCCAAACTCCCATAGCGTTTTCCTGAGGAATTCAAGCGCGGGAGCAGTCGGCTGTCTAAATCCGAGCCTGTAAATACTCCATCCGGTAAATTTGATAAATTGGTCTTCTTTAGAATTTCGATTGTAGTAGTTTTGTATCTTTTGTAAATCCGAGTTTCTTCATTTTTGAACCAGTAATCTAGCTTCTTCTTCCAGCAGTGATTGGTTTCGAAGCCCTTTTCAACCAAATATGAGGTATGTTCATAACTTCATATCGCATTATTTATGAGTTTCTATATCGATACTGTATTTACTATCGTTTCCTTTACAACCAAAACCATTTCTTTTCTCTTCGAACAATATTAGTTAGGTTTTGTGGGTAGATTACTCCACTACTTATTGCTTTGTTCAAAGTTTAGAAATTGGAGACCAAATAGATCATTTTTGTCGAAGTTTTTTAGAGTTGAGGCGTAACAGAAACAAGAGACCCTTCTAGACTTTAAAGCTCACCTATGCCACTGTATGTATACCAGTGTATGCTAAGCTTCTTTGAATAATATCGGGCCAATAACTGTATAGGGCCCAACATAACATGTAATATTTGGACTGAAGCTAATACCGGATTCTTACTAATTTTACCACTGCTGCACCTCAGAAGCATCCCATAATTTTCATCTTTCAATTCAATCTGCTGCCACACCTATATTGTCCAATTCTGATTTGGTCTGGTTTGTTTAAGTATGGTCTGATCTCTTTAAGTTTGGTCTGGTATGTTTTGATTTGTTTAAGTCTGGTCTGATCTCTTTAAGTCTGGTATGGTATGTTATGGTCTGGGTTTGAACTAGTCCAAGTAAAACATCCTAATTATCTCGTAATTATCCCCTGGGGATTGAGACATTTCTGAGGTTAGATATAGATTGACAGCCTCTAGGGTAATTTGATTTTTAAATTTCTCACTCTATGCTATGGATCATTTAACACAAAATGTGTAACTCTCATCAGCAACTCTATAAAAGACAGCATCATTATCCATTAGTAAATTATTTTTCTTTTTTTACTAGATATAAAGAGTGTTGCTAATTCATTTACTTGTTTTGCAATGACACAGTCGACCAATGGAAGAAGATGCCCCTGTAAGTTATCCTAATTGCTCACCAGCTTGGTCTTTAATGTTTAGCAACATCTTTTCCTTTCTGTCAGTTGTGCATAATCTATAACTGTTTCCTTTAATATTCTTTTTACTCATGACCTTGCTATCTCATGTGTTTATGGTGGAAAACATGCGTTGCTCTGCATTTATTAGATCCGTCTGTGAAAATTTTCATTTTGTTACGAAAAGTAAAAATGAGTTGTAAACATGCTCCTAAGCATCACTAAGTGTCTATTTTATGGTGTGTTTGAAGTGTAAGGCTTTGGAGCGATTAGTCAATCTAGATAAATAGAATGTTTAATCAAACAAATAAAAGATTGCATTTCCATTGGTGAGCTCCATATATTCATGTAAATCAAATTTGATGCATGCGAAAACCTGCATATCCTCCTTTAAATTTATGTCTTGAAGTCATGTCACAATACAATTACTTTTTTATTTTTTTAATGTAATACTGTCTAATGTTCCTGGTTATGGCGCCATTGGTGTATAACCACCAAATAAACCATTCGTCTGTCTACATGATTTATTTTAGTGTTACATGTCTATGTTCCTTGTTTGTTTCATATCAAGATGAAAAATCATTTTTTCCCTTTTTTTAAAATTTGTACATCTTTCTTTATTCAAATGTGTTTGACAGGGGAAGAATGAGGAAGAGGAATTCAACACAGGGCCACTGTCTGTTCTCATGATGAGTGTCAGAAACAATACACAGGTATTACACAACTTAAATGATATATATAATGTTTTTCAAGCCTATTTCCAAATAAAACCAAGCCATCCAAACAAGTTTAACCCAAATATTTCTTTCCAGAATTGTGAAATGATTTTGACTATTTTGGAATTTAGGTGCTCATCAACTGTCGTAATAACAGAAAGCTTCTAGGCCGTGTAAGGGCTTTTGACCGCCACTGCAACATGGTGCTCGAAAATGTTAGAGAGATGTGGACTGAGGTGGTATCTTATTCTATACTGATTTTAAATGTTTTTCCTTTGGGTTGTCTTGCTTTTTTTTTACGTCTTCATTTTCTCTGCAGGTTCCCAAGACGGGCAAAGGGAAAAAGAAAGCCCAACCTGTTAATAAGGATAGGTTCATCAGCAAGATGTTTCTTCGTGGAGATTCCGTGATCATTGTTCTCCGGAATCCCAAATAAAGGGTACTCTTTTTCCCCTTGTGTAAGTTGTTGCTTAGGATGAGCATTGCATATTTAACATTGTGTTATTTTTTTGCTTAATGTATTATTCTATCCATGCATGTTACTGCTAGATGGTTCATCTTATGCAACTCCTGTCTGCACTCAAGATTTCTACTCTTGCTGTGGTTTAGTTATCCCAACTTAGACTTCTTGGGGTAGGATATTGTGGAATGGCTTGTTATTTCAATGTACTGTCACTTTGAATGAGGCTACTTAGTTTTTTGCTTTACTACTCTGCCTTTCCTGTACTTCTCTAATTGACTCTGTTAGTCTAATATCGTCTCGACCAAACACTATCTACCTCCTAATAACATATACTAATATGCATATGATGCTGAAGTTGTCTGTGTAAGATGTGTTTGGTAGCCGTGATGAAGAAAGTGAGTTGTCGGAGAGGGCATCTCTCCTATTTATTTCCGAGTGCATAGATGTGTACTGGTTATTCTTTTTGAAGTTAGAAATTTAAAAAGCTTATGTCTCTCGTGTATGTTTTTTTTTAAGTATGGCTCCCTTAACATGAGTACATGACATTTCCAGGTTCGCCACTGGTAACCATAATATTTGGCCTAATTTGCATCCAGACTGAGAATGCAACATAAATACATAAGGCCTCACATTTGTGAGTTTTTGGTAATGGTTAACTTTTAGTAACTGAAAAGATCTTAAAAGAAATCTGGAGCAAGTTATAACTATTTGATAAAAGTTGATTGTTTGATTTAATTATGTTTGATATGGTGACTCATTAATGTTAAAAGGTAGAAGGTTGACTTACTAAACATGCACATGATCTGTTGTTTTTTACCGTTTAAGACAGGAACCCGGCTAAGTTAAACTAGACTTTGTTCTTCCAAAATAGGCCTGAACGTGGAATTCTGTTATTTTTCTTTAAATAAGCAAAAATTAAAATAGTAATCGGAATTGATGTGAATCCAAAATGGTGGTTCACAACTAGGAGTTTAATGCACCAAAGTACCAAACCCTCTCGTGAAGTATAAATTTGACACATTAGCCTTTTGTGGTTTAAAAATTGCGTCAAAAGCCTCAAAATCCCCTGTGTTATAATTAATCATGCGCCAAACCCCTCTAAGAACAAATCTAATGTCTAAAAAAATGAAAAATGATTAGTTTTTTTGTATAATGTAGAAACTTTGACAAAGTTACTGGCATATTCAACTATATTATTACAAAAAGTGATCTCAAAATTGTGAAATTTATTGTTGGAGGAGGTTTTGCGCATAATTATAATAAAGGGGGATTTGACGCACTTTTTAAATCACTGAGGGCTAATGCTAGGGGTGGACTGGTTCCGGGCTGGGCCCGGTTCAGGCCTCGGTTCAAGGTAGGGGAGGCTTGGAATCGGCCCGCGTAACCCCGGGTCTGGTTCGGGCCGGGCCGGGCCCGGTTCGGTTCTATGTATTTTTTATGGGTTTTCCTAATCAACCCCCTATCCTCCCCCTCCATTCCAAACCACCTCAAATGGCCCAAAATACCCAATCCAACCCAAAAACTTAAAAAAAATTCAAAAAATAAAAATAAATAAATCCGGCCCGGGCCGGTTCACCAAAATGAAGGCCCGAGCCCGGAACCAGTAGCCATCGGGTTGGATCGACTTGAACCGCCCATGGGTCGGGCTGCTGGGCCGGGCCGGTTCCAGTTCGGCCCGCCCGGCTCGAGTCCAACCCTAGCTAATGCGCCCAATTTATATTTCACGAGGGGATTTGGTACATTAAGCCTTCATAATAGCCTTGGACCTGGTTCGGGCCACCCGGCCCGGGAACCGGCTCGGCCCGCTACAGTGTGGGCCCGGTGCTTCGGGCCCCAAACCGGTCTATGACCCGGTTGTATGTAATAAGCGGGGCTGGCTCGGCCTGCACAAACGGGGACCCGGCTTGGCCGGGCCCAAAACTGTTTTTTTCCAGCTTTTTTGGGTTTCCCCGGGTTGGGCTTGATGTTTTGGGGGTGGGGGTAGTTAGGAAAGAAAAGAAAAATTACAAGCTGGCCTGAGGCCTGGCCCGAACCGGACCTGGTGGCAACCGGGCCGATCCCGGGCCTTCCCGATCCACAAAAGGCCTGACCGGGCCTAGGCCCGGCCCGGCCCGGCTCCATGCCTACCTCAGAACTAGGCCAGATCAGGATCAAGCACACACAAATTCTGATATACTATAGCTGAAAACTGAATTTCTAAATTTATAGTGATTTCAATAAACTTTAACAGTTCTAGCCCAGAACTTATCAAATGAGCCATTATTTGTTTTTATGGAGATTTTCTTTGGCCAACTATATGCATATATTAGTGTGTTCTATGTTTCAAGCATTAAAAGTAATTTTTAAGTGTTGATTTTTTTTACAGTTTCTGAGTAACGCTGCTTTTTAACTAAAAGTAAAAATATTTTAGTTTCTCTCTCATCTTTAAACAAAAGTCCGTTTTGATCCTTACATTTTCAGATAATTTGAATCAGGTATTGGTTATCATCTTTTTGACATTTTAAGCATTTTTGTAATCACAAATGGACTCTTGTTGATATAATTTTAGTAAGAGGCTTGTTTCTACATGAGGTAATAACTAATACTACGTAAGTGTTTGGACGGTTGAAAATTGAAATACAAAAGAAAAATGCATGTAATATAAAGAAATAAAAATCCCTACATTTTTATTCGAGCTCCACCAAATTGTTCTGCCCAATTACTGTGTTTTCCCAAGACTTTAATCACCTTAAAATTAATCAGATGTAAGAAAAGTTTTTCTTTGTGGTCCCCAAAGATACGTTATCTGAAGTCTACACAGTAATACAACTAGATAAAACATTTCTTATTCACGACTCAAAATAGAATACTTGCAATTGTGTCTTATTTGCACCTTTTGCTTCATTTTTGTCATTATTTTGATTGACTAAATATTTGTTGTTGTTATATATAGATGTAAAAAAGCACAACTTAGAGTTTTTTGAATGATGATATTGTTAACCTTGTAATAAAAACACAATTGACACGAATATTACTCTTTTTAATCAAAAGATAAAAATATTACTAGAATCTGTTAATTAATACTCCTTCCGTTCCCTTTTAAATGTCCCGTTTTACCATATTGGGATATCCATATTTAAATGTCTCATACATTATTTGGTAAAGTTTGTGTGGTCCAAAATCATTCTTACTTTATTCTTACCTTATCAAACCCACTGTTCTTAAAATCCGTGTCACCCTCCTCCGGGACATTTAAAAGGGGACGGAGGTAGTATTTAGGATGTTTTTACTTAAATTATTTTCAGCCTCAGACCAGATTAGATCAGACTTAAACAAATTAGATAAGACTTTCCAATAGTTATATGGGAATACAGTCAAAGAAGAGCGAATGCAAAAGTACAGGGACGCAACCCTGGAACTTATCAAATAGTTCGAGGAGTCAGATCTAGTATGTGTCCCCCGAGCCCAAAACAAGGAGGCACACATTCTGTCAAAGCTGACCAAAGATGCGCCCGAACACCTTATGCGCATAGCCCAGATACAAGAGCTGGATAAACCCAGCATCGAGGTCACAAAAGACCTGGAGGTCTGAAATCTTGGGTTGAAGAACTGATGGAATATAAGGAGGCTGGAACACTGCCTTCCAACGAGGAGAAGGCAAAGTTGATCAAAAGATGGGCTCCGAACTACGTCATTGAGAACGACAAGCTTTACAAAAGAAGCTACAATGGCGTGTTACTCAAATGTCTAAGGCCAGAACAGACTCGACAAGTGGTCAAAGGATTACATGAGGGGACCTGCTCATCCCATCAAGGTGCGTTTACCATGAGTAGGAAAGCTCTTTTACAAGGATATTTCTGGCCTACAATGATAAGGGATTGCGTGGACTTTGCACGAAGATGTGAGGTCTGTCAGAAGTTTCAAACGAACCCTGCAGACTTGCCACACTGTATCATCCCATCAGCACTGCGATACCCTTCTCCAGGTGGGGAATAGACCTTGTTGGGCCCTTCCCACTGGGCACAAAAATAAGAAACGGTATTTATGAAGTTCGTAATAGTGGCGGTTGATTATTTCACAAAGTGGATTGAGGTCGAACCAATGACCACGATCACTGCGGAACAATGCAAGAGGTTCGTCTGGAGAAATATATTTTGCCGATTTGGTGTTCCCATGCAAATTATCACTGACAATGGGAACCAGTTTCACTCTGAGCCATTCAAAGACTTTTGCGAACAATGGGGAGTTAGGCCACCAGGGCATCTGTCACTTACCCCCAGTGCAATGGACAAGTGGAAAATGCCAACATGACTATCATTAACGGCCTCAAAAGAAAGTTGTATTCAGTGGAAACAACTTGGGTGAATGAACTCAATAACATACTTTGGGCATACTGGACTACCCCAAGAAAGGCTACTGGTGAAACTCCTTTCGCCTTGAGTTATGGATTCAAAGCTCGAGCACCATTAGAAACACTGGTCCCAAGCAAAAGGGTGGAGGATTATGACCCTAAGAATAACGAAGATATGCTCAGGGCAGAACTACACCTGATTGAGGAAAGGAGGGACAATGCGTTCATCAGGGCTGAAAACTACAGAAAGCAAATCAAAGAATACCATGATGCGAGGGTCAGACCGAGGTTATTTCAGGTCGGAGACCTAGTTCTAAGAAGGAGGTCTGCAAGCAAACCCTTGGAAGGTGGAAAGTTTGCCAAAAATTGGGAAGGGCCTTATAAAACCCTTACAAGTTGTGTCCTCCCAAAGGAAAGTTGATAGAATGAGTGTGGAATTCGGAACACATGATGAAATTCTACCAGTAGGTTTGTAATCCCGATTTAAAGTTTATTCAATGAAGTTTGTTTTCTTTCACAAATGTCCTTATTAAAATTTCGAAGGTTCTTTAACCACCCAAAAAAAACTAAGGCTATGCCTAATTTTGGTACTCACAAAAAGTCAAAGTCAATATTCCAGACTCATCCAAATTCTAGAAGCTCAACTTAGTCTTATCATAAGACGAAAGCGGGAATAAACGACCTTTTTCAAGGTCAATGAGAACCTAGGGGTTAGATTTGGTAAAACTCTCCGAACTGGTTCAGAAGGAAAGCAACCTTGACCGGAAAATCAAGGCCAAAACTATAAGGACAAAAGTGATGAGAAATAAACTTGAAAACATGGGACTCAAGTTAGATCTCGGGGTCGTCTCATGGCTCACAGATCGTGTACTTACAGGGATAAAGGCCAACTCCCAGAAGGATCAAGCAGAGACAGAGCCAACCTCAAAATCAGGGCTGGGCAACTTAGATTGTGCCTAAAGAGGGTCAGACAGAACAAATAAGTGGCCCCAAAACAGGGTGGAATTGTGGAAAACACCGCAAGCACGCAGGCTTGAAAAAGGATGTTTGTTGAAATGTTTCCAAGGGAGATTAATTACCGGATTCAGATGGAGGAACTTCAGAAACAAGGATCTCAGGAGCAAGAACGGTCAAGGCGGGGTTCTCAACTGCAGCATCAGGGGTCT